TAGGAGATCTGACAAAAAGGAGCACCTGAGGCTAGGGGAAGAAGAGTGGCAGAAAAGTGCACTGCTTAATGTTATTTAAGGAGCAATGCTACTTACCTACCCTCTTATTTTTCCTTTAGTACTTTTCTCATTCACTTTATACCACATGTATTTTACTCGCACACAACTTAATATATTTAGTGTGTTCAATGTATACACATTAAGGTCTCGTTTGGTTCACATAATGAATTTGAGTGAAAATTATTTCTCATGAGAAAGTAACCGGGAGATATCACTTTATTTCATTTCATTTCCCATATTTATTTTAAATAGGAATTGAAAATAAAGTTTGTATAAATTTTCAATTATACCCATATTATTATTTTATTTTTTTAAGAATGTATTTAATGATATATTGTAATTCTAAATTGTTAAAAATGACAAAATGGTCATGAAAAATGTTTATTTAATATTGGCTCATTTTCCCAAACTTTTCCATAAAAAGAGAAAACAAAACCCAAGTTGGGAGGATGGCTTCACTTTTCCCCAACTCTTTACAATATATAGATTTATGTGTGAGTGGAATACACGTGGCATAAAGTGAATGGAAGAGGCAATAAGGAAAAAGTAAGAGAAAAGATAGCTCGCATTCCTCTTATTTAAGAAATAGAGAAGACAATTTAATTACCACAACACCATATTTATACTCTTCTCTCGATGTCTCAGTCTCTATGTTTCTATTAACTGTTGCATAAATCTTAGCTTCAATCAGTGTACTTACTGAGATTCATTTTTAGGGTTCACATGTTGCAAGCAAAATATTTATACCATGAACCGACAAATGTGCTGGTAATAAGTCTCTAATTAAATTCAAATGCAAGGTGATTACAATCATTTTAGGGTTTGCTTAATCTCTTAAGAAAGCTCTAAGGGGCCCTCTGCAAGTCACTTGCTCAAGAGTAAAGAAGACTGAAAATTGTACTTATTTCTATTAAATTACACCTAATATTATTTAGTACGCAATCGTCCATCTCAGCGTTTCGTTTACTGTATATAACGTACCCTTATAACAAACTTCAATAAACTTTTGCAGATTGGTATCCATAATTTTCTTTTTTGAAATTGGTTTGAAGAGATTTGATTTTGATGATTGAAATATTTTGTCGAGAAAGTCTCGTTCTTTGAGAATTTGGTGAACTACTCTTTTAACATGCAGTCAAAAAGTTGGCAGAATCCAACCTTTTATTAGAGACTTTCATCTTCCTCTATCAATATCACAATTCATTAACGTCTTTTTTTCTTCTTCCTTTGTTTTTTTCTCCCTTCCTTATCATGAGATTAAATAATAAGCATGCTTAGTGGGTGGAGGGGCCTCCTCCTCACTTGGTTCCTCATCTTTACTTAGCTTTTCCATAATATGCTCCCTGTCTCCCTTTTCTCATCTGACTGATCTGACTCATAATTCATGTTAATTTACTTGCATGGCTCATTAATTTATTTTTTTAGCAACATTATCCTACCCTAATCCAATAGTGCCTATCAAATCAATTGCATGACCAAACTCACACATCTTTGCCATCTTATAGACTAAAAAGAGAATCATGAGGAGCTAATCCAGCTCTTGTTAACTTCTTGTTATCAAAGTAACCCTACCTTGTGTAGCTTTGCGAATACTAAAGCATATATATTGCACATCACGCGTGCCCAACAGTTCGAAAAGAAAAAAAAAAAGTATTAATTTTGGGATTAGGGGGAGAATTAAGTTAATGATTAAAAAGGAGAGTTTAGTACACATCTGGTACAGTAAAGACAATTTTCAAAACAATGCCAGCTAGGACTTTATATATACTCACACTCGGCTCAGTGGGTATTTCATTCATTATTTGGTTGACTAGCATCCACACATGGAGAATATATACACTATTATTCCACGAATCTAGCACTGAATATATAACAACAAGATGGTGAATTGAAAAGGAAACCATTTTATCTCAAATCCATGACAAATATCTAGATTCAACTTACCCTTTTGTTTAGTAATAGTTGTCTCGATTTGGTTAGAGAACGCCAGACAAGTTCAATTCACTAGTCATCCTGTTATAATGGTGAAGTTTTGTTGTGAATGTGCTGACCCGTTGAAAACAAGGATCAACACTAACGCACAAAGGAATCTTTTTTTATCTTCTCGCATAATTCAAAATAAAAATATTAGGTCCAGCACTTATACAATCTTTGCAAATTGCACCCACCACTACATCTCTAATCATATCAGCATGACAATTTTGGGGGATGAAGTGGATGTTATTTGCCAAACTCATACGTAAGAGAAAGGGTCCAACCATACCATAATGATCAGAAGGAATTTATGGGGTTACCCCACAATAAAAGAATATTTCTTGAAATAAGACTGAAAAGGAAGAGATTGGATTTATTTGGCTTTTTTCCATATCAGCAAAAGCTTCTATTAGGATTTATTTCAGAATAGAAAAATATTTAAGCTCCTAGCTTTGCTCTTTATATCTTATTATTTTTGGTATTTTCCGTCACTTCTTTTTCCCTTCAGAATCTGTCTTATAGTTTACAAAGCATCCTAGGACATAATTTTTTAACCCCAAAAAAGGATCTTCAAAAAAAAAAATTGTACAAGATCCATTGCATTTTACATATATATATATATATATATATGTCACGCCAACCTTTTTAATACAATTACATCAATGGGAATTAATTATTAATTGTTAATGTAGGACCGAAAACTATTAATGCTGACTAAAACTTTCATCATTTCTAAACACATTTTAGAGTGCCTCACCGGGCCACACCACAAATCCATTGGTTTTATTTAAGAGTGCAACACACAACATTTTAATACAAAATCAATCATTGGTTTGGAATAATGCTAGATGTTTAATATTTCATTCTGTTTAAGCTGCTACTCACACATTATGAGTGCTATTCTATATAAAATGTCTACAATAATAATAACAATTCCTCGAGCGAAAAGACATAGACGTTATAAGAAAAGTTTTGGCTCATCTCATTCATGTAACATGTTTGGGAGTGCTTTTGGAAATGTTAAAAGCGCTTCTGACAACATTTGATAGAAAAATTTAGAAGTGCTTATGGGTCATAAAAGTGCTTTCTGATTCACAAGTGCTTTTCCACTAAGTACTTCGATTTCTTATGAAAATTTCAACGTATTTATAATAAAAGCACTTATAAACATAAGTACTTGCTAGAGAAACAGTCACAAACTATCATTTATTAGAAGTAGCGTGAAAATCTAGTAATCTTTGTTCTAATTTTCAGGTTAATTTAGATGAATAACTATTAATTATTAGGCCGACAATTTGTGCAAATAATTAGTGATGTTGGAACATTATTATACTTAATTACACATGTTTTTGTTAGATCATGATGATAATCATACACACTTACATACACACTAATCTTCTGCTCTGCGTAAACTTTGATTATGCTTATTTTATACTTGATTATTTCGTTTACCAACAAAAAGAAGATGATTAGTGAGCCTTTGGAAGCATATACTTTAATACCTATATAAAAGTTCCATACGAAACTCAACAATCCCATCTCAGTTATGCAACAAAATCAAGGAAAGATTTACATCAAACTAGGTTGGGGAAATCAAAGCAGACAAAGACATCAAAATGATTCCAAAAACTTCAAATCATAGTCAATAAGACCATCATGTCCTCTGCACTACAAGCAAAATCGATATTTTTCAGCCCTGAATATTTTTTTTTCTTTTTTGCACCACACTTGACACTACCATATTATGTATATTGTGTATGGTTTATCTCTATATGTCTGCCATGAATGAGCCTACTGCTGTTGTAGGCAGCTAGGCAATTAGGTCTACGAGTGTCAAATTCCACAGTTCATGTGTTAGTTTTTGCATGAGTCTTTTCAATGGGCACCTTCCACCACCTACCAAATCTCAATATATCGCGGCCTTCCAGACTTGACGACTTGATTGTTGGACTTGTGTCTGCCATTAATGGCTCCGTTGGTTTTGCAACTAACGCTCGCCGAAAATGCGCAGCAACAACTCACTTACCTCTGTCCTTTTTCTAGTTTTCTCTCTCTTCATTTGTTAGGCTGTAACTTCTGTTACTGTTCTTACTTCAGAAAAAAAAAACGCAATCAAAGTCTCAAAAAGAAGCAAAGGATTCACTAGTGTAGTGTAATGGTTTGAAGCAATTGCTTCTTTAAAAGGGTTCTGAGTTCGAGTTCTAACATTCATGTAATGTGTGTGAATTTAGTATTATATCGTATCTCTCAATAAGAAAGGTCTTCAAAAAAAAATTATTCTCAAAGAGAAGTTCTTGTAATATAGTATTAAAAAAAAAAAGAGGAAGAATCATTTCATTAGAACAACATTCAATTAAAAAGAGACGGATAGATGCATTAAACCTTTGGAAATGTAACCGCCCATTGAGACATACGTTACTATAATAGAGTTTTATAAGTGATTTTTTGGAAATGTAATCGCCCATTGAGACATATGTTACTATAATAGAGTTTTATAAGTGATTTGTAGTTCAAGTGATTAAAATCGTTCATAAATTGTTAAAAGGACCCAACTCTCAATTCTAATAGTTAACAGGTTAAGATTCAAATTGGGTAAACCCGTGAGTTTGCTAGGTGGGGAGGACTTGACTTGGACGAAAGCTAGACCATTGCTGAAGGTCATCGCTTCGCAGTGCAGCTAGTACCTAGCAACCCTTTTGACTATGGGGGAATTAAAGTTGCACATCCAACACCAAATTTTCAAGGATTTGGTAGAGAAGGGGCTATCAATACAGCGAGTTCATCAATCTTAGTCGCATGTCAAGGGTTAGGTTGGTGGGCCAAAGTTAAGATTTAACCAATTCTTAATTTTGGTCCATTTTTCTTCTTTCCGATCTTCTTAGTTTAATCACACTCGCAAAGTTCAAATCACTTGTGCTTGTATATGCGCGTGTATTCCGGGCCAATTGTGGGGAAAGCAGAGCAAAGAAGACAACCAGAGCTTCATATCAATTTATCACGCAGGCAAACATACGCATGCTATAAAGAATGCTAATACTTGAGAACTGAAAAATGGGCATGCCCATTAAATATACAGAACAAAGAACCCTTTTCTACTTTCAATGATCAGCTTTGGGGAGGAAGAAGCCTGAATACACCATGCAGCAAGAATTCTACTGCTGGGTTTTCGATACCAAAATTTAAGCCACAAAGAAGATGAAGACAATCAAGAAAAATACCAAAATGGCAAATATCTTGATTATAAGCCACCTATTTGATGATATTCGGTTGAGATTCCTTAGTAAAGCGTTGTGTGCTCCCTCAACATTTGCCAGTGATTCTTCCATGTTGTCATCAATCCTGCTCACGACAACCAGCTTAGTAAAAGTGCATCCAGTATTCTATGATCCAACTTTCATCACACTAAGAGACTGAATAATAAAACATCACAAATTTACAAGCAGCAAAAAGAGAAAACCTGATAGCCAGTTCCCCTTGCTGTGCAACCATTGTAGCCAAATGTGTAAAGATGCCACTCAATTCGGAAATTGTAGATTCTACATTGTGTAGAGCAACAGCCCGGCTTTGTGTATAATTTTCTTGCCTTGGAACTACCTGCTGTAACATGGACATTTCCATTTGCTGCGATGGAGGGTTATCCACAGCTAACCTTCGTCTGTCTTGGCAATGTTTAAAACAAGCAGTTATTTTCCATCAACATACATCTATATACAGATATCAGAAAACCAAATCATTTAACACCTTATTTCTGGCAACTAAATAAAATAATCATCAATACCAGAAATTCAGAATGGAGAAAATTGACAAGTGCATCCTAGTTTTTGTTGAGGGCTGACAATATGAAATATGAGTTCGATTGTAATAGCTGCATTCCAGATAATCATCCAAGTTGATGAAGGCCCTATGCGGCCTTCTTAGATGCTTTCCGGAAGTAAAGCAGACAGTGGTGCACTTCTAATTAAAAGGAGGGTGGTTGAAAGTATTGGTTATGGCCTATGTAGCAGATACAAGCATTTCAGGCACGAATAAAAGATGAATAAAACTAATACTGAAAGAACGTGTGCTTGTCATATTTATGAGATGAATAAGAAATTTCCATTTTCTTTTGGAGCTAACATACCTCAGTTGGCTGCCAGCTTGAACTTCATTTGATGGCAATCTGGTGTGAGAGAGAGATGAAACGATAAATAAATTACTGGTACATGAACAGTGGAAGGCCTAATATACTACTAATTGACAAACATCAGAACATAAACAGACTTAGTAGATCTCTTTAATACAAAATACTCACGGTGACGGTTGCAAATTTCCAGGTGCACTAGTTGTAGTTGACCAGGGAGCAGGTTCGGTCACACTTTTTGCAGGTTGCCGGAAAGGGTTATCTCTTGATGCATTTGTAGAAAATATCTGTTTCCTATTCTCGTGAGCCTTGATATTCTGAGGGGACAAAAAACGTAGAGTTGTAAGGAAACAACCAGAGACATGGCCAAAAAAGACTTTTACCAAATGTACAAATCAAAACAAGCACTGACCTCTGTTCTAGTGGTTAATACATCTTGGAGCTGTTTGGTAGCCCTCATAAGTTTGCTTTTCAAGTCATCACAGACGGCTGTTGAATGAACAACTTTGTCCTGGGAATAACTTCCATCAGCTATTTCCATGCTTTGAATGGTTTGCAAATCGGTAAGAGCCACATTCAGTGCTGTAATGTCATTCTTTACTAAAACAGTTAATTCCTGAATTTCCATTATCGGATCATCAAACATAGACGACCTCTTTGCCACTGCAGATTAACACATGGCAAGCACAAGCTTTAGGTCGACATAACCTCACCCACCCAATAAAATTCTGAGGAGAATTCGAACTCAGTAGGAAAAGTGAACTCACAAATTACAATACTACGTTTTGTGAGCAAAATTTTAGGCCATGCAATACAATCAGTTGGAAACGTAAGTAATAATCTGAACACAAGTATAAGAAATCATATGTGACGCTTATTTTCTCCAATCATCGTCAATTATCAGCAACAACAAAAATCAGTAAATCAATCAGTATTTCAGAACTCTAAAACAGCTCCTTAGCAATATCAAAGATTTAGCTTTCATATGGCTCTCGTACTGAAATGCTTGAACAAAGCTCAGCTGAACTGTTAACAGTTTAAAGTAAACAAATGCATCACATTCGAACTTCAATTTTGTAATTTTCCTACATTTTCGCAGCCACCAAACAGCTAGGCATAAATACACAAATACAAGCACATACGTATATAGAGCACGGAAGATTCAATTTTGGAAATGAAAAGGAGAGGAGCAAATGCAAAATACACTGGGTAAGCCTTGAGATCTTCTGAGAGGTTTCCTGTATCCCCAACCCGATTCGGGAAGCCTTCTTGTTGAATTCGGATCCAGAAGAGGCGGGTCCCGGAGGTTTGGACGGAGATGAGACATTCTGAGGTTGATGAACGGCTTTGATTCCTCCGATTTTCTGGAGGGTCTCCGAGAGTGATCGGAACTCCGAGGTCCGATCACGGTACGTGAAGGCCATTGGAAACGACAAGCCTCAGATGGAAAATGGTCGAGAGAGAGAGAGGGAGATATAGGTATTGGTTGTTCGTCGGTGGATGGATCACCTGCAAACCGGAGGTCAGCAGCAACAGATTGCTTGCTTCCTAGACCTTGGAGTTGGGTCCTCTGACGCTCTAGGCCCAATCAACTTCCGCCGTGACAGCCACAAATGCGTGAAATTGTGGCAATAATTTTAATATTGAAAATGAAATTGGTTTTTATATTTTCCTCTTTTGCATCTTCACATTTTCAAATTTCATACATGAATTTGAGTAGAAAATTTCGTCTTAATTAATGATTTAAAATTTGTAGTAGAGGTGGGTATTTTAGTTGGATAAACCTACTAATCCAAGTTCAATCTCCATCTTAGATGGGACTAAGATATCTTAGTTCAAACCCAATAATTTGCACAAAGATGAAGAAATCTTTAACTCGAACAGCAACCTGAAGAGTTTAAGGGTATTGAACGCGCATGTAAATGAGATGGGCACCGTACTTTAGTCAACTAATCTAACCTACATATACAAAGAGTTTATATGTTTAGTCACTCAACATTATATCTTATCAAAATCATATCCTTTACAATTGTTGCTCAATCCCTCGAATAGCTATTGGGTTAAATTTTTGTGTCCAACATGTTCAAGTCACTATAATTTGGGCAAATTTGAGTTTCCAACCAGCCCATGCTCATACCTCCTCTTGGGTCAAGCCTAATTTGTTTTCACAAATGCATTATCCTATACGCCTGTACAGCCCAGTTTCAATCTCGCTTATATCACAGCCATCTGATCCAAAAACAACAAGAAAGGAAACCGTCAGATCTAGGTCTTCACAAAAACCCAAACTCTCTCTCCCTCTCCTCCACCCTACTGTATAAATCTCACCATTAGCCATTTTCATCTTCTACACCAATGATGCCCGAGCCCTTATGTGTAAAGATGCTCACCTAATGCTCTTAACCTTAGTCATATCTTTTTTTCACTTATTCTCTTCCTCAATAAAATGTTATCGCTTATTATAAATAAATAAAAATAATAATATTCATAACATCCGAGCATACTCTAAAACATATTGACTTTAAAATGGTTCAAAACAGCATGCTCTTATTTTATATCTAAAGCGGCTCTATAAGTAAAACCAAGCTCATGCATCCCATGTTGTCCTTAACAAATAAAACCACACCACACAAACATATCATTTCACATTCATATTCTTGTCCGAAACAAACATAATCTGATAAAAACTCATAAAGTAGGTTAAGCTGCTCCTTTCATGCCTCAATATTTCCCACGATTTGGTCCCCCTGGTTCCCTTGGGCCCGGACTTAACAAGATTTATTGGGTATTTTAATGTCCTTTTGACTTGCAAAAGAGAGGCAAAACGGTGGCAAGCCTTTGAGTCGTCGCACGTAATGTCTATCCACTAAAACATCAAACTATATACAGGGGAGGCACGCTGGTCTTTGTTTTTGTTTAATTTAATGTTTTTATTAGTCTGCATGACTGTTTCTGAGTGTATTAAAAGAGCCATGAACCTTAATTAGTGCTAATATTTTATAAACTTTCCAAACTTGTGGTGGGGTAGGTACGTACGTTTTGGTTTCTTCAAGTTATTATCTCCCACCACAACTGATGCGCATGTCTAATTAGGTTTGTTCACAAGTCATGGGTCATGACGCAAGAATGGCCGACGAAATTATGTTGAGGCAACAAAACTCATTCTTAACCAAATCATGTTTGTTCTCTTAATCTCGGATTTGAGTGATTGATTACGTTGGCCTCCCATTTCTCTAACCTCAGATGAGTTTGAGTAGTGCACGTACGGTGTACAAATTATAATGTTCTTCTCTTGTTTTTTTATTTTATATTTTTCGGGGATTTTTTTTGTGGTTGCTTCTAGTGCAGTGCACTATCTGTGATGATTGATGGATAAGAGAAGCACCTGGAGAGGAAAATGAAATGGCTTGTGGGTTTGGAATAAATTATTATTCCCGGGAAATATCATCCAAACACGGCAAGAACAGAACAAACATACATTTTTGTTTTGTAATTGGGGGGCGGGAGATGCTTTGATTGGTTTTCAGCCATCAGTTTCAGATAATGATGTCGAATGGTAATTCCAATATTGATTTCAAAGCAAATATTCTTCTCATCCCGACGATCAAAATGGCTGCACGATCGGCTTAAAAAATGGCACGTAATTGAATGGTGGTCCGTTCTTCTTTTTGAGTTGATTTCTAACAGTGCTAACTATATAATGGTATGGGTAGAATTCAAGTCACAAAACGCGGACTTGGCCAAATTCATAGAACATTGGTGGACCTAATCTTATATTCCCGTTACGTTTGGTAGTCTAATCACTTGTTAAAAGAAGATCAGCACAAAAACAATAGAATAGGGTTGATCGACAATGGTTTATGAGTGGTTCATAACCATTCATATTTTGTAACACTCATTTATATATATTAAGAATTGACAGTCGTTCGTGTGCGAACAGAGACTCAATAGCATATATCTGAAAAGATACCGATTCAATCCTATCAACAAGTGGATAAAATCGTGGGAGAAAAGGCAAGAACAAGTTGGGGCCAGTCTATGGCATCCGGTGCATGATAGCCAATAATGCCCCACTTTCTGCCTCAAAACATGCTTCCTTGCTAGGAAACCACTCCTAGCCCACAATTGACTTTTCTCCAAAGTCAAATAAAGCAACAGACGGCCTTTCTTCCCCGGTCAAGTTTAATAAAAATCCTTCAAAGAAAGAAAGAAAGCAATGGGGTTACATGCGTCCACGACTGTAACCAATCAATCAGTTCATACCTGGTTTTTGTTCATCCCCGTCAACCTATTTATCTCATTAAAAACGATTTAAAAATAAGTTGAGTGCAAAATAAAAAGTACCCAATTTTACTTTCTCAAAAAGAAAATAAAATAAAAAATAAAGCACCAAACTTTTTTATTTGGATTGCTTTTGCTTTGATGAGTCGGCATACGAATATATCCATACTACCATACACCTGCACGATAATTTACGGCTAAGCCAACTAACTGTTACCATCCCAACCGTCTCTAACTCTCCAAATGTAACAGTGGCAGCATCGTGGTGGCTTGTTAGGCACCACCGGCGGAACAGTGATAAGCCCACGTGTAAACGGGGACATGTGAAGTAGATGGCGCACGTGATGCGCACGCCACGTGTTGGGAGGTGGGGGCATGTCACATGGTACCCCGCGTGATTCGTTGGCCAGAAAAGGGACGCCGTGTTGGAGGGCACTTAGATCGAGTCCCTTGCTTCGGTTGGGCAATGGAAGGAAGACACGTGTGGCAGTTAAAGGCGGTGGGATTGGCGGATGTTTGTTGCGGTAAACGCGGGAGTGGATTGAGTCCAATCCTCCTCCAACAACAAAAACGAGTTTTTTGGTTTGGGGTTCGGATTTGGCGGACGCCAACGACGTCGTTTCGAAAGAAGGCGAGTGAGTTGAGTGGGTGACAACAAGGACTTAAAAAGTTAAAAGAAGAGGCTTCTTCTTATCCAAAGCCAACGGAACCTGTACAGCGAGCAGTGCAGTGCCCATAATTTGAATGGAATGGAACGATGAAATGGGTTCGATTAAATTATTGTTGTTATTGTCTGTCCGTCTGTCATATGGATAATGTAAATGCGAATGTAAAAGTCCGCCCCCATTTTGCTGCTTTTGTGCAAATCTTGGAAGGCAACAATGTATGAAATAACAACTTTTATTGCAAAGATCTAGCATATAATAACAAATTGGTTTTGAATGTTTCGCTAAAAGATAAAGCTCCGAAAAATCACCTTTCTCGTAAATAACATTCCTAGCCTTTTGAATATATATAGTATGGCTGAGTGAAACAAAACACATTAAGAACCAATTTGGGGCCTTATCTAGTTGCGAGGGTATGAGAGCTTGCTCCACATTTACGGCTTCACTTTGACTATAGTCATTTTCGTCTCTTGGTTTAATTTTGACTCGCGTTTAAATTGGGTGTTGAAACTTTCATTATTTGATAAATACTACCTTACAAATTTCATACAAATTAATGAAAGACGAAATGACGAATACCTGTATTATCCATACTATCGAATGTTTTCCTGTACAATATTCGATTGAAATAGCAACAAACTTGTTCAATTTATTCCTCAAAAACATAATTAGCACCCCAACAAACAATACATTCAAAAATCAGGCATCCGTTTTGCCCTCGTATACTTGGACAGAGAATCGTGGCCTTTTGGACTTGAGCAGCAAGTAATTATAAAAACAAACCTATAAACCCAATCAAGTTGCCTTAATTTATCATTGCATATCCAATATCAATGAGCCTTCGATGGCTCAAACACAAGATGAAACATTTGCAAGCTGTACAATCCTATCCAAATAACAATACCCAGTTGGCATTACTTGTTTTTTTCTGTTTGAGAGTAGCTAGTTTGGCTTCAATCAAATCTTTGAGGAGCTGATTATGAGTTGAGTATTGTTTTCCCGTGATGGATAATCGTAGAAAATTAGTTGTATTTTTGTATCTTCCATGTACTAAAAGGCCATGTTTCGGTCGTTTTCCTGCCCTAAAATGCCTGGACAGATTTTTGAGTCTCCTAATTCTATCCCTAGTTTACCGACAATGCCATGCTTCATATAACTCATGTCACCTTCTTTATATTTTGACCGATTGAGAATTATACACAAACCGTTAGCTTCTCTAAATAAAGAAACACAAAATTATAAAAATGAATAAGAACGGATTTGAGAAGGGACAAAACGTGGAAAACCCAAGAAGCATCCTAGGCAACCACACCAATAATTTGTCATTAAAAATAAACTAGGACAACTATTGACCGCTCAAATTATAATAAAAATTAAACTTTTAGAATTTTAGAATTTGTATTTTGTTTTATATATGTATACATAGATGCATGGTCTTATCGAAGAGGTTTGGTAAAGAAAATTATAAGATTAGGAGAAACTTTCTTCTCTCCTCATTTGAGAAAGTAAAATTCTATGATGCAACATCAAAATATACGTAATTTTATTGTCGTCATCTCTACAATTCATGAAAATTATATTTTAATTTACCGGTTGATAAATCCGTGTGAGCTGTTTAAATAATATTTAATTGCGAGACATATCCAAATTCTGCCAACTTGTTAGGATACACATCCAAGTATCAATCAGAGAAAGAAAAAGAAGAAGATATATGTCGCCGTAGATTAAGAATGTAATTATAATCATTGATAGATTAAGTAAAGGGATTATCTATATAATTAGGAAGCTGGCTTTAACGTTTTATTTCCGTAGAAAAAAGTAAAAAAGAAAAGTCAGATGGAATGGAAGGCGGTATAGAAGATGGTAGATGGATGTGCTTGGTTGACCGTGGTCAAACTTCAATGGCTCTACTATTTAAGATTCCATTTCAAACAAAGGCAGTTTCCTACTTACGAAGCTACGTACAGTACATATACGACACGCCGTATTGATAACAGGCTAGTCGTTAGGTGATATGGATAAGCTTTGTGTGTCCATAAACTTCTATTATATAAAAATGAAAAGAAAGGAAAAATAACGTTTCTTTTTTTAAAAAAATTTAATTTTTTTCAAAACCACGACTTTCAAATTCCTCGCTCTTCATGCCTATATTCCACACGCCTTTTCTTCTTTTTGAAATTTCCGTTGCCCTATAAATACCCCTCTCTCTCTTCCTTCCTTTGTTCAAAATATAAACAAAATCCAATTCACAAAGAAAACAGCCCTTATTCAAATTCAGTCATCATTTCATTTCTCTGCTAAAAACATGGTTGATTTGGATTGGAAAGCCAAGATGGTCTCCTCTGACATACCCAGTAAATCCCCAAAGCTCTCCAACAAGCTCCACGTTTCGATACCCGGTTCGTTTCGCGCCGCACAAGTCCAAACTGATATTTCGGAGGCTTCCGAAATGGCTTGCTCCACTTACGAGCACTACCTTCGCCTCCCGGAGCTCCGAAACCTCTGGAACTCCAACGACTTCCCGTGCTGGAGAAACGAGTCCGTTCTAAAACCGGCCTTGCAAGCTCTCGAAATTTCGTTCCGGTTCATCTCGACCGTTTTGTCCGACCCGAGACCGTATTCGAACCGGCGCGAGTGGAAGCGCCGGCTGGACTCGCTCACCACCAGCCAGATACAACTCATCGCGATGCTGATCGAGGACGACGAAGAAGACAGCGAGACACGTGGAGCCGCTCCCATCGTCGATCTGAGCACGTCGTACGGCGAGCTCGCTCGGAACGGGAGCTTAGCCGAGGTGTGGAGTTCGGGTGAGACGACGGTGGTGAGCCGCACCAGCGAGGCCAGCTTGCTTCCGCGGCTCGCCACGTGGCAGAAATCCGAAGGCATGGCGCAGAAGATCTTGTACTCGATCGAATGCGAGATGAGGAGCTGTCCGTACACGCTAGGTTTGGGAGAGCCGAACCTAGCCGGAAAGCCGAACCTGGATTACGACGCCGTTTGCAGGCCGAGCGAGCTGCATTCGCTGAAGAAGAGCCCGTACGATCACATCGACAACTACGAGAACCAGACGGTGTACACCACGCACCAGGTCCTCGAGTCGTGGGTGTTCGTCTGCCAGGAGCTTCTCAAGCGCGTTACGAGCCGAATCGAGGCGAGAGACTTCGAAAAAGCCGCCAGTGATTGTTACCTGATCGAACGGATATGGAAGCTTCTGGCGGAGATCGAAGATCTCCACCTTCTGATGGACCCGGACGATTTTCTGAGGCTCAAGAACCAGCTCAGCATCAAGACGGTGGACGATACGGAGTCGTTTTGCTTCAGATCGAAGGGGCTGGTGGACGTGACGAAGCTTTGTAAGGAGTTGAGGCACAGGGTGCCGTACATCTTGGATGTTGAGGTGGACCCCAAGGGTGGGCCCAGGATTCAGGAGGCGGCGATGAGGTTGTATTCGGAGAAGAAGATCGGGTCGGATTCGGACTCGGAGAAGATCCACGTGCTGCAGGCGCTTCAGGCGATTGAGTCGGCGCTGAAGCGGTTCTACTACGCGTACAAACAGGTGCTGGTGGTTTTGATGGGTAGCTTGGAAGCGAAGGGGAACCGAGTCGTGGTGAGTACGGAGATATGTGACTCACTGAGTCAGATATTCTTGGAGCCGACTTATTTTCCGAGTTTGGACGCGGCAAAGACGTTTTTGGGCGACAGTTTGAATCACGAACATGGAGGAGGAGGAGTCAGACGGAGTCGGAGGAAGCAGTGAGTACTGTTTGGCGCGTTGACTGGTTGGGTTAGGAGGTTGAATGGGTCTCCTCTTCTTAAATTGTGTGTGACGGAGACTCATAATTAAGAGATAAATTTTTTTGTACTTGTTATTTTGAATGTTTCCCTGGTGGATTTTTGTTATATGTTTGTAGGTCTTCATGTATGATTAAATCCTGTAAAATATTACCATTCTTATAAAATATTTAATTTGTTATTTATCCAAGGAGAATTGGAACAGCAGCACATGATTCTTTTCTCTTCCTCCTATGCTACATAACTGGACTTGATTGGTTCTCATGGTTTAACTTGTGGTCTGATTACGAAGAAAGGAATGCTTCTAGAGAGGAGCTGGTTCATGGGAAACTTGAGCGCTCATATGCAAGCTCCAGGCCTGATATCCGAGAAGCACTTGTGTGAAACGAGAATATCACTGTTTTGTTAGCGGCGCATGAGTCTCCCGCAGTTAAGGCCTGCCAATGTGCTGTGTTGGGCTATGTTACCCGAACCCAGGCTTTTATCTCACCATTGTTTGTGAATTGGGCTCTCAAAAAAGAAAATGGAACTTTCTAAACTAATGGGAGGAGAGAGAGAGAGAGAGAGGGAGAGTTCTCCTCAACAACATTCCACCTGCACAGTTACACGTGTCGATAGAAATAGACGACAGGTGTGTGAGCGAGTCCGCCAAGTGTCAACTTCAATAGTAATAGGAGAAAAAGGCGGTTCGTAGTTCGCATGTGACTCGGTACTACAACGACGTAGTAGTCCCACGATTTCAGAAACCTTAATCGTTGCGAACAAATCTGATTTTATTTACCAAGCGAAAGAGAATTTGATTTTCTTTGTGATTAATACAATACAAATGGGGGTCTAGTGGACAGACGGTCCAATGGGGTCAAGTAGGAAGGCGAATTCATACACGGAAAGAAGTATAATTAGCGGAAGAAATGCTAATCGTGGCAGTGGATCGGTAGCATTTCTCCACGTGTGGTGCAAGTATCTCACCTGAAAATACCAAAACCGAAAATTTCTACCATTCTACGGCCTACAAACAAGCAAAGACCCTGAAAGGTTCTTATTCTTAACTTGCGTTGTATCTTTTTGCTCTGTCTCATTACAGTTTTCAAATTCGGGTCTCTCTCTCAATTTCCGGAGAAAGAGAATAACTCCAAATTTCAGCTGAATATTCTCTCCTCCATGGTAAAGGACTTTGTCACGTAAAATGGTGAGGGTGGGAACCCATTCAAGCCATGGTCATCAGCAATGCAGATCATTTCATGATTTCACACTTTTTTTTTTTTATCCGATCACTCTCCTCTCTTTTTAGAAACAAAAGGGTTTTGTTTTGCAAAGATTTGAGGCGGTGGGTTGGGTGAGATATTGTCATGTATATATATGTATTTATATGTATGGATTGGAGATTATGAATTTTTTACTGATTAAACGTGTTTGCCTTTTTACCCATTTCAGGTTGGATTAAAAGGGACTTCTAGAACCCAGTTAGTCTTTTGCTGCATCCAAAATCCAAAAACTTTGCAGTCCTTCGTATGAATATGATATGACACCCTTCTAGACTTTTTAGGCGCACGGGATTCGTGGGAGTGACTGCTTTTTCTCTATTCTACTCTTTATTTTCTTCAATTGTCAGTTGCTGCATCTGTGCCTCTGTTTTTGGGTTTTCTCTGTTTCTCATCGTGTAGCTTTTTTAGGGTTGATTATTAGATATGGGATCCGGGGTCGTTCATTGTTCTAAGAGTTTGGAAAGCATACTTCAGGTTTCAGTACCGCATCCACTTTTTTCTTCTTCTTCGAAATCATCGCATTCAATTTCTTTTCCTTCGCTGACAAAACCCAGTGGAAGCAGTGGAGCTTTGGCTGATGGGTTCGTTCATCGTTTGGTCTCTTCTGGGTCGAGTAGTTTGAAAGGTCGTAACTCGAAGCAACGTTGTAGGGCCAATTTTGATGATTTCTCCTACGAAGAATTATCGAAGCAGATTGAAGATTTGGCACAAAATTTCAACCTTTCTGAAGAAGATGATGAGGAAAGTGAAGAGGAACCACCTTTGGTTGTATCGAAAATCTCCAAAACGTCTCCGGTTTCCATGTTCCCAGAAGGTGAAAACAGCAAATCTAATGGCTTTTCATTGCAATCTTCGAGCTTGAAGCTCAATGCTTTAGAACCTTCTCTTCTTGGTATTCATCCAGAGCCACCAGACTGGCCAGAAAGAAATGAAATTGTTAGAGCCACCATTGAAAGAAAGGCCAACAGCCTTGAGTTTCCTATGTCTCTTAGGCTAATAAAGAAGAAGCATCGCCAATGGGAAGGGAGCCCCAGAGGAGAAGCAGGGGAGTTTACTTCTTGCTCTTTGAACAAGGCATTCTCTTCCATGGTGTTCATCGTACGTGAGCTTCATAGCAGCGCTTTAAGTATAAGGGAAAGTCTTTACTCTGAAGACTTGCAAGAGATCGTAGCTAAGGTGCAGAAGAGAGAAATGAACATGTCATTTGTGTGGTTGTTTCAGCAGGTTTTCTCGAAATCACCGACTCTCATGGTCTATGTGATGGTCTTGCTAGCAAATTTCACAGTGTACTCGATGAATAATAATGCTGCTGTTGCAGCTATACCTTTGCCAGTTATCACCGAGATTTTGACTGTGACTGAGAAAAAGGAACAGCCCAATTCAAAATCCCATGATGCTTCCGAAGTCGACATATTTTCTGTGACTGATTCTAATGGAGTTGTGAAAAGGAGCTCGAAAGAAGGCGTAAATGGTGGTGGTGGTGACAAAGTGAGCCCGATAAGTTCAATCAAGAATGCCATTGTTGATCCTGAAAAGATGTATGGTATTTCGTTGTTCAATCATGAGGAGTTCACAACCGAGGAGGAGGTGAAATTGTGGAACTCTGTGGTGGAGGAAGCTTCAAGGATGCAAGCAGAATTGAGGGATGAGGCCCTTGATCATGAAACCCTGCAACAATTTGTGTCGCCGGTGACGGTGAATGTCGAACCAGATTATTATGACGAATACTTTAGAACTGATGTTTTGTACCAGATAGGTTTAGCTAAGGAGCCCGATAATGCACTCCTACTCTCCAACTATGCACAGTTCCTCTATGTCGTGATGCGTGATCATGATAGGTGAGTATCATATTATCTTCTCCAATATGCTTACTGTTTACACTAATTCATATTTGTTTGTTGCCTTGTTTGCTTGTCTGAATCTAACTTTTACCAAGGAAATAAACCTAGCCCATCATTTTGGTGAAGATGAGTAACACTAGCCAGCCATAGATGTTTAGGAATAATACATGTCCTTGTTTTGCAAGGTTGGACCATGGAGGAATTAATAGATGACTTAGATTTGGTTCTGTTTTCCGATATGAAAGCTATGGCAAGTGTCTGATGAGAGGACTTAATTATGTGGTCCAGTGTGTGATCTGTGTTTTTTGGGTTTGCAGGGCTGAGCAGTGCTTCAGGCGCGCCGTGCAAGGGGAGAAACCAGATGCCGAGGCCGTGAGTCGATATGCAGACTTCTTGTGGATAGTAAGGAAAGACCTCTGGGGTGCAGAAGAGAGATACCAGCAAGCAATGGCAACTGAACCCTGCAACCCCTACTATGCCTCCAAGTATGCCAACTTCCTCTGGAGCACTGGCGGCGAAGACACCTGCTTCCCCCTCGATACATCCTATGATAACTACAACCAAGTTTTGTAATTTGATAAATAAGTATGAGCTACCATTACCATCCGGCAGTGCCAGGGACGTGTTACTGCTCCAATTAAATTAAGTATCTATAGGAAAGAATTTGACCAAGAATGTAAATAAAAACCTGTCATTCTCATTCTAGACCAGATTGACTGCAGAGTTATAGCATATACCTAGTTTTGTACTCCAGTTTGATCGCAATAAGAAATGAGTTTGACATTGAGTTTTGACCAAGTTTCGGTTGTCTTTTTTTGCTTCTCTGTGTTTTTTTCAAGGAAATCAACTCAATTCCAAAAGATTGATTTACTTTATAGCGTCTAGTCCAAATTGAAATTCAAAAATATTACCATTAATTATCTGTTACCTCCCAACATACACGATCATCTCCATATGAAGAAAAAAAAGTTACAAGGCCAAATCATATAAGGAGATTCAAAATAGAATCATCCGGACTGGAGGTATAATTTCTGGAATGTGGTAAATTCCTTGCGTGTCATTTAACCATAGATGCCAAAAACACAAAAACACCGTACGTTTCTACAACCACCTGATACTAGATTTGGAAAAGACCTATCTCATTACTCATATAGCAACTGCCTGCCTCGTGTTACAAGGTAAGAATACAAGAAAATAAATCTATATATGGGCGTGCTAAATTAGTTGCTGTCACAAAATGGCATACATTTCCTAGAATTCAATATTATACAACTCAGGAACAAAGAAGTACCAGAATAACTCTAACAGGACTGAAGCAATTTGATTGATGGAAATGTAAGCTCCGGAATCACCAAAACCAGATGTTGCGACTGTCAACAGCCTTCACAGACGTCGGTACCAATGGCATTCGCCCAAACTCGGCAACAAATCTGTCGATGCAGTGGGTTCTTTTTTCACTGTGACCTCCTAAGCTACTGATTCCAGTTGAACCAATCTCAAATATCTTACCTGAAGAAAAGCACAGCAATACATAAGTACCAGAAAAGAAAATAACTGAGATAGAATAATGCGGTAGTGTATTGCAAAGCACTTCCTGATATACATCAAGCAAGGTGACAATTTGCTTTGGTTACAATGTTTACGAAAGTAAAAGGCTATGGGAGCAAGAATTTGCCTTCCTCCCCAAAATCACAAGAGAAATTTATGGCATTTCCATCATTGTTATATTACTATTGGTGAAAGCTGTAGTTCACATATAAATGTTTATATTGGACTCAATTTAGCGGGGTGTCCTTGACCAAGGCACTTAGAAGTTATAACAGGTATCATCTCAACATTTATATGATTAGGCTTATTCATCATGCCTGCTGCATTATTCGATTAAAACTTTATTTATGATCCAGAACTCATTATGGCTTGTCTGCAACTCTTGTAACATCTTTCAGTAGAAACAAAAAATTATTTTTTTAAATCTCATTTAAATCTTATTCAGATTATAAGGACCCATAAATAAGCAAAATACCCATTCATTGCATGGCATATAATAAAACTACAATGCCGAACACAAAGATGCAAGGAAACAAAATTAAAACCAAGTATGTAAATTAGCATAGGATATGTGATTACCTTTCACCCATATTGGAGGAGCACCAGTTGCATTTGCTACGAGAAAAGACATCGCAATGTCTTCACAGTTCCTGGTGAAATCCAACCCAATATTGAGTTCTTTTGTACATTTATAAAACAAACATATGCACACAAACACAGCTCAATCGATGAATGCACAAAAACAAAGGTAAGCGACAAATGAACAAAGAAAAAGTGAAAACCTGTTCTTGGTTATAAATTCTCTGATTGATGCTGGCATTTCATTTGTGTACAGACTTAGGTACTTTTTGTGGAAGAAGGCTGCCTTAGACAGTACCATACTGTATGAACCTGTCCACCAAACTGACCACCATCCACCATAAATGTAGCGATTCTTATCACCTTTCTGCACAGAGAGCATATTTTTATAAGACAGCTGACCAAGTGTGCCATAAAGAGTTTTCAACATTATGAATAAGAAATGAGTTTTCTTCACTAAATGGTAATGGTCTTGTTGTAAAGGTTGTCTAGCCTAAAAAGTATAATTTCGAGCTTAAATGGATCAATAAGAACTTGAAACATAAAACATAAATTAAGAACAATATTCCAACCAAGAAGCTTGAAGTATAGGGAAGACGGCAAGAACTCTGGTAATACTATCTCTACATGTGGACAAAATTTTAGAATAACTATTGCAGCAACAGGAGAAAATGAGACATACGGTCGGATCAACCCAGTGCATGCGAGGCACGAATCCAACCATTGTATCTGATGCACTTTGCCAAACATCGAAAGCAAATTCTACTGAAGGGCAAGGGAATATAACATCATCGTCAATTGAGAAAATGGCATCTGTTCTCAGATCCTTAATTTCTTTAAATCTGTTGTTCAAGCTGTCTTCGGTATTGATATCAAATTTCAGTTCAACTTGTCGCCCATCTCTAGTATTCAATTGTACAATGTGGTATAGAAATTTTCTCAGAGAATCTGAAGGAGGACTTGGCTCACTCCACACAATATGTATCGAATCAAGCCGAGGGCATCTAGAATAGTGAGAAATTGACTGCTTCAAAAGATCATATCTCTTCCAAGTGTTCATTACAATAGAATATCCTTTCCTGCATAGAGGTTGCACATTTCATTTCAGCATGAATACACAGCAACTGGTATCTCCAAGTAAGTAACAATACGCCAATCAATAGCATCCAGCAAATGATAATCTCTGTAAACACATTAAAAACAGTCTAAGAGGGTAAAATTTAGAGACGCATATGAGGGCAATACAGAGCCAACACTATCTTCCCAATCTTTCAATAGCTAATTTTCAGTTTCCATCGGAGTCATACCTGTTCCTAAGAATGATCTAATATGGAAATATTCTCAACAATCGAAAATTAGATTCATCAATTCATTTATCTCCATTAGACCATATAACAACTCAATTTCATCTTATATACTCCAAATCCAACAAGTTCTAGAGAAGTTTGGGATTTTATTGAATCTTTCCTAAAAAAAAAGTCGAAAAGAAAAATAAGTTTATTCACCAAACATCAAATATAAACCCCGAGCTTAATTATTTTCCAAAAAAAGAATAACTATCAGTGTGATGTGCAAGTGGATAGCTGCCTAATCCGATACTTAAATCTATAATTAGCGACTAACGCGGGAAGGATATGTGGAGCTGTGGAAATATCTAAACAACAGTACGAACCGTGAATCAGAGAACCGCTCCAGAGCAGCAGTGTGATTGGTCCATCCCATAAAGTCCGAAGCTCGGCTGGCGAGCGCGATGAGCGTGAAGCCGATACAACAGCAGAGCAGAAGCTTGATCTTCATGGATCCAACGGTCGAGATCAACGCCTGCCGCAGCCTCTGTACCGTTCGACGGTTCCACAAGCTCCCTCTCATCACCGCGTGGCTTGGCGAACTCGGTTGTTGCGAGCTCTCGAGCCAAGCTCAACCCGATTTGCTTGCCCGAATCAGAACGAGTGTTTCAAGCACGAGTTCTCCGCCCTTCTGCAACTTTCCTTCCATGTAAAATCTCTCCGTTTTTGTGACTCGCCGGCAGAGATAGAGAGATTGTTATGGTGCGACGCGGGTGTAAGTACTATGGGGCAAAGCCCGTGCGACGACGAGAGATGGACGGCTGTGATGAGATTAAAGTTGGAGACGAGTAGCTGGTGCCGTTGATCTTATCGTCCGCGCTCTAATTGACGTCGAAGCAACGTCCGTACTCACATTTTGGTCTCAGATCGGAGGGGCCGATGGGAGATAACTTGTTGTTTAGGCTCCTGTGAGGGGGCCGGAGGTCGGTTAGGGTGTGAGGTGGTAGACGGAAAGTTTGGTGCAAATGAACGTGTACGACATCAAATAGGTTGGCGTAACGGATTGTGTTCAGGTGATTGCTTATGATTGATGAAAAAAGAGACTACCATCTTTGAAGGGAAAAATATTTATCCTTTCCGGCCGTTAAAGTGGACTAGGAGAACGAACCTCTTTGTCAATTTTCAGTGGGCTTGACGACGTCGTTTCTCGTCTCTTTGGGGGTGGATCTGCATGTATGAGGATTTTTTATTTTTTATTTTTTTTGGGTAAATGAGGTAACTGTAAAATGTTTTTAGGCAAAAGAAATAAAAAAAGAAGGTAGCTATATGATGTTACTATCACTGTGCCACAAGTTAGGTTTGAGTCTTTTCTTTTTCTTTTTACTTTTCCGTTTGTAAGAGTCAATGATCATACAGGGAATTAGCCTAATGTCAAAAGCATTGTACATTTGGAACCAAAACAAATCCGATATTCAACTACTACATTTGAACAACAATAAGATTGATCATGATCATCGTTGATGCCTTTAAAACCCACCTACAATACTGGTCAAATTAAACTCACATATGCGTGTCATTAATTCTAACGTGACAATAACCGATGTAGATGTCTAATTCTAATATGCCAATTCATGTATTATGTGGTTTCGATTGACCACATATAAAAAGCATATAAGTTTTTGAGAATTATATTACACGTGTCGGAGGAAATAAAACACTTGTGATCCAAAATTGACAAATGAACTCTTTCTGTTCTTTCTTGGACAAATGGCAATCAAATTGGATTGATGACTCCTTCAATTTTAATATTTTTCCTATAACGGGCACCCGAAGTCCAAAGGGGCTTAATTAAGGGACATTTTGGAAAAAGCAAAAAAAGAAAAAAAAAATTTAAAAGAAGCAAAAATGGACAAAAATGCCCTTATTTATTTTTAGATTTCCTAAGGAATCCAATACATTTGCATGTCTTTGATTTGAAAGTTGAGTGGTTTTTTTGTCTTTTTTGAAAAATCTTTGGCTTTTTCCAAAAGTGAAATTTTTTTTATATCTAAAACCTAAAAAACCTCTTAAGTAAGTATTTGGAGTCAATGGAAGCAAAGGTTTCGTAATTCACTTTGGTTTTTGCACAGGTTACTGTCTAGATCTCAATTGATTTGTGAATATATAGGGACACTTTGCGCAACGCTAATGGACATCTCACTTTCAAACTTCACGCTGACCCAATTCCAATTCGTGATCGTCAAGGCCCCATGAAAAGGACTTATTAAATTATGGTCCAAAGTCCAAACTCATGCTATTTTTGTATCTAGTATCTCGGTTCAATCAACTACTTGGGCCTCGTAGCAACTTAAACTGCTTCCGATTAAAAACCTTCATTATTTAGCCCATAAATTAAAAATAAAAACTACTCTCATTTTTTTGGGGGTACAAGCTAAAGTGATAATCTCCAAACTTGCACATATTACGATGGTGTCATAGAGATAGAAGTTTGAACTTAAAATCACTAATCTGTAAATCAATGTCATTTTTCACTAGGCTAAACCTCATTGACCATGCAATACAAAAACTCGCTCTGGTTGAATTTAACACAAATTAGCTTCCTTGTTTACAAAGTGCACTAATCACACGTCCCCACATGCACAACAAATTAATATCGCATTCGTGGGATAAAAATTGGAAGTCCTTGTGTTTTTGTTTCTTATTTTCTAGGATTTGTCGGCTATACGATCGGTACTGTTAATGTCATATGTCGTTGTCGTATGGCAGAAAATCTAATTTTCTTTGTGTAATTTGTTACGTTGAAGGCAACAAACTCACGAAGAAGCTAAAGAAGATTTGGTCAAATTTGTCGTCACCTTTCGTCAGTGCTATATACAGTAGGAGCACTCAATAATGCATTTTAAAAACATGAACAATGCGCATCACAAGAAGAAATTATGAAACTGGGCGGTGAAAGTCGGTTGTCTTTAATTGCATTATTGCTCCTGGGATTTTCTTTTTCTTCTTCTTGTGAGTCGGTAAATTAAATTCATCATGGGAAGAGAAAAGAGACACAAAGCCTCATTGATATAGACATCACAGAGTACAGAGAACCAAGTACATAATGAAAAAAAAAGCGCACCTAATACATTCTCCTGCCAGTCCCAAGGATGGATTGCGGGCAATGAGCCAATTAATAATCAAATTAAATATCTACATCCGGTTAGCGAAAATGCTGAAATAGCTAGGCCGGTAAAATATAAAATTTGACCGTGCATCCAAGTTACCTATGCTATACATTCTCTTAATGTCGCTTATATTAAAAAATTAGACCTTTACAAATCTAGGGTTGGATGTGAAATTTCAATGGTCTCCTTTTGATAAATGAATGTATCATTTATTTGGTTATCAAATATTTACCTCTCTTTCACACCCCCGGGAGATGTAAATGTCATTTTTCCTCAAAGAGGATAGATGTAAATTGAAGATGTAAAAAAACATGAAAGGAAATGATTTTATATCAAGTTGAAGTAAAAATATATTTAATGTATTTTGGAAACTATCTCACTTTTTATATGTTTGGAGCCCACCATTTTTGCATTATCTATCGTCTTTTTCAGCATGCGTGGCCCAACAAATGAAGATGTAAAATCAGATATAAATGTCCATTTTTTAAAAAAATTCAGCCCAAATGCTATATTTGCATTCATTTGCACCTCACCACTTGAGCAACTTTGGGCAAGGTGTAAGTGTCCTTTACATCTCCCCTTACCCTTGCAATGGAGATGCTCTTAATTTTAATGTTGACTTGGTTCATGCATGCTTAATGCATGCGTTTTATCCGTGTTAGTATAGATATTAAAAAAATAAAAAATAAAAAAAGTTATTGTAGGAGGGAGAGGAGGCCAAAGTTTATTTCTAAGGAAAAAAATTATCTGCAAGTTTCTTTCCTTCATTTGCTAAGAACAACTAGGATATGTTTTTAAAAATAAAAATAAAAAAAATAAATGAGATAAAGTATGAGCAAAAGCAATTTTATCTAGGTTGATATTACCTGGGTTCAGATTTAAAGAGCATGCTTTGATTATAATGTCTGCCACAACGGGAGTCATTTAATCTGTTGCTTGCAGCCAAAGTTTAAGTTCACAATCATCATTATATTGAAGAGTTATTTCTTCTCTTGTCTTTGTATATATATTGATCCCAGTGGATTGGTTGCTAGATAACTCCAAAACTGGTTTAATTATTGTTTTTTGCGTTAATCCCTCTGTGTTAATTTAATAAATTATCCTTGACCCTTGCTAATGTTTGTTTAATGGGGCCTGATAGAAGCTAATTACCTAACCACCTGTTCATCATATTTCATCCGAATATGACAGAGCATCTTACTTTTTGGTTGCAGCTTTTTAGAATTATTTTTCTGTTTCTAGGGTTTTAAATACTAATCCATCTGGTTTATTGTATATTTAAATGCAGCAAAATATAAAGACGACCTGGTCAAGCTTGCTCCAGGAACATCATGTGCTGCCAAATCAGCAACGAGCAAAGCAGTGGCCCTAATCCACCGGGCGGCTGCAGCTACCAAATTATTAGAATCAAATATGCGATAAGCGGTTTGTCACCACTTAATAAAAGATTAACAACCATAATATTTGTTTATGGTTTTAAGTTGGGAATAATTGTCTCTTGTGTGTGCGTGAGTGTTATCCCACATGGTCTTCATTTAAACAGAAATTACGATTTTCCAGCCACTAAGTATTTTAGGTTAGGCATGGCAATTTACAGGTTAAAACTTCTGCTCATATCAATTTGTGAGTCCACTTGTAAAGCTGACTAGCGACTACCATGGTGCACATGTGGTCCAGATGGCTCCACGACCCCATTGTAGTTTTCCTTTAATAATTTTGATGCCGACTCAATATAATCATTTTATGATACAAGTAATATTGACGGAGAAAGAAATTTAAGATCTCGAATGCGAAGATAAATACGACATAAAAACTCCAGACAAGCATTTAAGTTAAAAAAGAAATGATGGCGTGGCGGGCCAAGCCATCCAAAGAGTCCCAAGTTCTATGTGGCCTATAATTCTGAGCCAGAACAAAACGAGGGAACATTTATCTCATAAAGAATTGGAGATGATGAAATACAACAGCGACGTGAAACATTATTTATCATTATCCAGAAATGTCATTGCAATTACAGATAACTATACTATAGTCTATTACAAATGCATTGACAAATTTAATTAATATATGCATGAATAAAAAAAAATCCTATGATTCCATTACAACCCTTGTTAATTGTTTTCTAAGCAAAGCGGCAGCTGTCGGCATACAGAACAGCTCGATCCTGCGAGTGTTATTTGCACATTGAAGACATGATAGGCTATAAAATTCTCATAATCAACCAAAAAAGAATCAAACTCATCATCACAGGATAAATGATTGAAGGTTTCTTAACCACCTGCCACCTAGCAGTTAGCATAAAGCTCAATTCATTAAAATCACTAGCCAAACATGATCAGCTCTGCTGGAGCAGACTTATCATTGATCATGGTCCAGTCCTAGTTAATTGAAATTTTTTGGTGAGATAGTCTAACCACATTATCCGTGCAATCACTTCGATAAGAAAGAAAGGCAATCCGACCGCATTACATGTGCGATCACTTCTCATGAAAAATAAAGATTCTCAATCTTGAAGTCCAACTCAACTCTACACTGGTCCAATAGAGTTGGTTGCATAATATTATAGCATCATAAAAAACCTCACATGTAGCGAGTGCATATTTATGATAGCGTCACAAAAAGAAAAGAAAAACATACATGTAAGTTGTATCGGGCCCAAATCTCTTTACCATGTACACAGTATGTAAGCTTTTTACTCATCCAACGCACATTCTTCAGCTCGCTGGAACCAGAACTCATGAAATGGACCCATTTCTTTGTTTAGTTCTGTCTCATCTCAGCACTGTGGCGGATGTGATTGGACGGTGCACACTATGCAGTATTATCTCATACATTCGTGAACACAATCGCGCCACGTGGAAAATAGTGGAAAATAATTTATTTTCCTTACGTATGACCCATTTCTATGAAAACAATTGAAATGCCTAGAAAATGATTGGTCGGCCACATGACAATAAACTATAATCAAATTAAAACACCCGTTGGGTCCCGCCACCACCCGCCCTCACTCCATCAGCTTCAAACACCGGCGCTACACTTTGCTATATATAATCGCACGCCATAACCCACTCTCCACTCAAACACCCACTGCTCTCTCTCTCTCTCTCTCTCTCTCTCTCTCACATCAAATAGATCAAACGGTCTCTGTGCTTGGTTTAGTTCTGTAATTAAAGCGAAAATGGAGGGCAAGGAAGAGGATGTCAAGTTGGGGGCCAACAAGTTTTCGGAGAGGCAGCCGATTGGGACGTCGGCTCAGACCCAAGATGAAGGCAAGGACTACAAGGAGCCGCCACCGGCTCCGCTGTTCGAGCCCGGTGAGCTGACGTCATGGTCGTTTTACAGGGCTGGGATCGCCGAGTTCATCGCCACCTTCCTTTTCCTGTACATCACCATTTTGACGGTGATGGGCGTCGTCAAGTCTCCGTCAAAGTGCTCGACGGTCGGGATTCAAGGGATCGCTTGGGCTTTCGGCGGTACCATCTTCGCCCTAGTCTACAGCACCGCCGGCATCTCAGGTAACTACACTCCCCAAAATGCACCGAACTGAGTTGCAAGTCAAGGTCTTTTTCACTGAGTCAAACTCCGTTGGCACCACCATGTGTGAGTTATTTTTTCATGATTAAGTTAATTAATGGTTGTTTAATTCGGCAGGGGGTCACATAAACCCGGCGGTGACGTTCGGGCTGTTTTTGGCCCGGAAGCTGTCGCTGACAAGGGCGGTTTTCTACATCGTCATGCAGACGCTTGGGGCTATCGCCGGTGCGGCGGTGGTGAAGGGCTTCGAGAAGAGCCGCACCTTCGAGATGCTTGGTGGCGGGGCCAACTCTGTAGCCCATGGCTACACCAAGGGATCAGGGCTTGGTGCTGAGATCGTTGGCACCTTTGTTCTTGTCTACACAGTTTTCTCGGCCACTGACGCCAAGCGCAGCGCCAGAGACTCCCATGTTCCGGTATGTATGCTAATTAAGTGTTTGATCATTTTCTAGCTGGATCTTGTTAATTGGTTGTTAATTTGAATTATTGGGTTTGATTAACAGATTTTGGCACCTTTGCCTATTGGGTTCGCTGTGTTCTTGGTGCACTTGGCTACCATCCCCATCACTGGAACTGGTATCAACCCAGCTAGGAGTCTTGGTGCTGCCATCATCTACAACAAGAAGCATGCATGGGATGACCAGGTAAGCCTTTCTGATTGATCCATTTTTCTTTTTAAAAATACAAGCCGTAGCATAAACGGCTCAAAATTAAGGAGAGGAAACTCGAATTTGAGTGCAAGCCGACGCATTCACTACCCTAGTGCTAGATTCAAACTTAGATCCAATAGTCTTTAATTTCACTTTCCGGGAGGAGGGTCCATCTAAAAATTTGAGAGCAATTTAATAATTTTTTTCAAATGCTAATTTTTTGTATTTTAAAATAATGTTGCAGTGGATTTTCTGGGTTGGACCATTCATTGGGGCAGCACTTGCAGCTTTGTACCACGTGGTTGTGATCAGAGCCATCCCCTTCAAGTCCAAGTCTTAAATTTCTGTGTTAATGGTTTATGATGATCGTCAACATGATGCGTACGTGTACTTATCGAGCTCTCTCAAGAAGCCGATCGATCGAGTTTGTTTATTTACTTTTCTGTGTATGGTTGTTAAGTGTATTTGGTGGTATTTTGTACGTATTTCAGCAAGGGTTAATGAGCTGCAAAGCATGTGTTTGATTTGATCTGCTTCAAGAATCAACGGCCCTGGTTTCCTTTCTTTTTTAGGCGAAGGCCCCCATCTGATGTGAGTGCTCATTGTATGTAATTTGGCAGTGAAATGTGTCCTTTTCAATTCAGAAATAACACCGACCATTCCTACTCTCATCTCCACCACACACAAGCAAACAAATTGAAATTCTTTCTTTTTAAATTTTGAAAAAAACCAAAAGAGAAAATGACAGAGAGAGAGAGAGAGAGAGTTATTGAAGTTAGGTGGCCACCTAGCAACGGATGAGGATGTGGTTTGCTCTCTCTGCTAGGTTCTTTGACTTTGAGAAGCTCCAGTTCTCTCATCATCCTGTGCTGCATGTCAGCAATTTGCATAATTGTGAGACAGATTAAAAGAAATGAAATGAGCTTAATTATATATCTCAATAATTAATTAGTCTGGAAAAAGAAAACCCACATTTCATCTAATCATAGAGTTACAGGACCACTGACCTAATATCATTTAGACACGCCAAACTTTTGTTGAAAAAGAGGTCCTAATTAAAGCTACAACAGCTGTACCAACTTATTCCATGATGTGTTTTTCTTTTTCCCAAAGCTACTTGCAGTGATATTTGCAGTGATTTAGCAAAATTTTGGTGGGGAAAACCTGACAGTGACTCGAAAATTCATTGGAAATCATGGAAAACTATGAGCCTAGCTGAATCTGAAGGGGGTTTGGGGTTTAGAAACTTATACGATTTCAACTTAGCCTTACTTGCTAAGCAAAGCTGGAGAATCCTCAACAACCCACATGCTTTATGGGTTTGGAAAGCAATCTGGTAGATTAGCACTCTGCCAAAAATCCAGTTGTTCATGTGGAGAATTGTCTCGAATGCGGTTCCAACTAGAATGAATTTATTTCGAAAAAATATTTGTGGCTCTCCTATCTGCTCTTTGTGTGATCAGTTTGAAGAAACGATCGAACACTTTGCTTTTTCTCTGCACCTGGACTCAGGTAGTATGGTTTGGGTCCCCTTTGTCATTTCGAATTGGTCAACAACGTTTGAGAAGTTTTGATGGTATGGTTTAATGAAATTTTGAGTATTCGATCAGGGTCTGCGCAAGACAAATTGGATATGCTTACCCTTTTAAGTTTTTTCCTTTGGGAGATTTGGAAAACCAAGTGCAAGGTTGTCATTGAAGGGAGTACCATTGACTCGGCCAAGGTTATTGAGAATGCACTAAGAGCTCAAATGGAGTTTACTGAAATTCGAAGGGTTCCTAGTGATGAAGTGGCCGTGAACAACATTTTCAATGTCCATCCTGCTTCATGGAACTCACCTTCAGGTGATTTTGTGAAAATAAATGTGGATGGAGGATGGATTGGTGACACTCTGAAAGGTGGCGTTGGTGTTGTTATTATAAATACTGATGGTCAATTTGTTGGGGGTTTAGCTGGTCCTATTTGCTGTGATTAAGCACTAGCTGCAGAAGCTCATTCAACAATTAAAGGGCTTGCTTTGTCAGCTAACCTTGGCTTTAGAGATGTCATTGTGGAAACTGACTCAAAATTGCTTATCAATAGGATAAATGGTGACTTTAGAAACAAAGTGTGGTCCATTATGCCCCTTATTAAGGAGCTTCACAGAATCTGTGGGTCTATGCAAGAGGTTCGATGGAGCTGGGTGCATGGAGATTTAAATCGGGCGGCTCATGAAGCAGCCATGATTGGAGTTAGAGCTATGGAGCTGAAAAGCTGGGTCTCACGACCACCATTATCTCTGGTGCAAGTTCTGGTCTTAGATGGACTCCCATGTCCTCCTTAAGTTTATTTTTGTTTTGGGTTGAAAGTTTTTCTTTGCTGGGTTGTATGGATTCAGTTGAAAGGCTTTCAGTTTTGCTTTCTTTCCTTTATTATAAGCTCTTTTGCCGATTTTTCGGCCTTGGAATGAAGTTTCAGACTCGACAAAAAAAACAGAGAGTGAAGGAAAAACTCTCAATTTGCATCTATCATTATTGTCTAACGTCTTAGCATAGGAGCTAATAGAATCTAACCCAATAAAAAAAGACTTGAACTTACAAATTATAGATCTCAAGTTCGATTCTCCATGGCATCATAGCAATCACCTCAAGTTTTGCTTCTTTGGCAGCCTTCATGTGACTTCAAATTTGATAACCATTCATGCAATAAGCTAGTTTTCACATCCAAACTCATTTGCCTTTAGAGCTAATTATTTATCATTCTTTATACGCTTTTTGGAGTCAGTGTTTTTTTTTTTTCCGGAATTTTGGAGTTAGTGTTGGCAGCTGGCACATCAACATGGGGGAAATTTGAAAAGGGAAATGGGCAGGTTGCAATGGAGATGGAGGGGAAAATAAAAAAGAATATAACGACAAAACGCGTGGTTGGGATTGGACTGGTGAGCATACTTTTTGTTTTACTAATTTTCTTACAAAGCAACTTGAGCTAGAGCCTGTTTCGTGAGGTTGACAGAAAGTCATAAGGAAGAAGCTGAAATATCTAATCAGTTCGCCCAAAGTTTGGTAACGGAAATTGTTGTTGACATTCAAAAATAGTAATAATGTAACTTCTCCTTTATTATTTAATAACTTAACTTTTTCACAATTCAAAGCTACAAGACGAGTAGATGATCATTTTGAAAAGAGTTAACATTATTATGCTATGAGCAAATGATCGTTGATATTTAATAAGTTCGATGTAATATTGGATTTGACACCACTAACTCCAGTCCGTATAAAAGTAATACTCTTTTTTTTGGTCGGAGTATAAAAGTCACTCTTTTTATTTTTGGGCATGTTTGATGAATTAGGGAACTTAAGAATTTGGGAATATGAATTTGAAATTGAATCAACTATTCCCCTAATTAATCTGATTCCTAGTTTTAAGAGTATTTGATTACAAATTTTGCTATAAAACTCCTATAATTTCTTTTATTATTCCGCACGTGTAAGTAACAAAAGAAAAGAAATTATAGGAGTTTCATGGTAAAATTATAGTTGGCCATATTTCTCTAGTTATCTTCTGTCTCTGGGCCTCTACTTACGTATTTGTTCATGTATGAATATGGCCCATTAGACATATGGTGACATGCTAAGCATTGGGCTTAAGTCAGCCTATTCACTGTTTACAGTTGAAAGGCCCACATACAAATTCTTTTCAAAAAAGGAAAAGGTAAAGTCCAATATCTCCTCTCATATCTTCACTATCCACCAAAACCCTAGTTGCTCGCGCCATCCTTGTGCTCCTTCTCTCGCAAACTCTCTAAGCCCCAAGCAAACCAGATCCATCAAAGCTGAGAGAGAATGGCGGTGATCGAGCACACAGTGTTGCAGTTCTCCACGTCGTCGTCATCGAGCTTGTCGGCGAAGGTTCATCCTCTCGTCATCTTCAACATCTGCGATTGCTATGTCAGGCGTCCTGACCAAGCCGAGCGCGTTATTGGCACGCTCCTCGGCTCTATCCTGCCTGATGGCACAGTCGATATTAGAAACTCTTACGCCGTTCCTCATAACGAGAGCGCGGACCAGGTCCCCTGCTTTCCCTGATGTCTTTGTTTTTAATTTTGATTCGTGCTTGGTTGATGTGATAATTGTAGTTAATTAACCTAATTTTCTTCAAGATCAGCTGACTGATTTAGTAATTTTTTTGTGTGATGTCTACTTTGCAGGTTGCTTTAGATATCGATTACCATCACAATATGCTCATATCCCAGCAAAAGGTTAATCCAAAGGAAGTCATTGTTGGATGGTAAATGTCATGATGCCTTTTCTCTTATTTTAGTTTTCTTAGTTTGATATGCAAATTTTCAGGCAATTTTTGTTGGGAATTCTAACTATTTCGCGGGTAATAATAAAACTCATTCTGACTGAATGTTTCTTCATTAGTGTGATTTGTGTTATAATTCAGTGCGTAACACATAACTTATTGACATTTGTGGAGTAGAATAACTTTAGAAATTTATCAAGTTTTCTAACTCTTCCAATGGGATTTTCTTTAACTAGTGGTTAAGCTCGTTGCCAAATATTAAGAACTTGTAAAAAGGAAAAAGGTTGTGGTGGAAAATTTGTTTAGTACATTTGTGGTGATAGCATGAAATCAATGGTCCCCGTGTTAGTTTCGTGAAATTTGAACATCTATTTTAACCTTATATATGCTAGTATAAACTTATGTGATGGAGATTTGTAATATTTCCAAGTTGGTTAACATGTTTATTGTTGTGGCTCTATGAATGCTTGTAGGTATTCTACTGGTTTTGGAGTTACTGGGGGTAGCGCATTGATCCATGAATTCTATTCTAGGGAGGCTCCCAACCCAGTTCATTTGACTGTTGATACTGGATTTAGAAATGGGGAGGGTACCATTAAAGCCTATGTTTCAGTGAATTTGTCTCTTGGAGATCGGCAACTTGCAGCACAGTTTCAAGAAATTCCTCTCGATCTTCGCATGGTTGAAGCTGAGAGAGTTGGATGTAATCTTCTAATCCCTCATTGTTTTTGGTATCATAGTTGATCCATGTTTTCTCTCATACACACACAACACCTTCACTTCAGAATCCTTGAATAATTTTTCTGAATTGAGTGAACAAAAGTAACTTGTTCACTAAGCTTTGGAGGAAACTCGAAAGAACTTGTTATTCTGAGCATTAGTACAAATACGTGATTACATGTTTCAACAACAGTTTGCTGACTTTGTGAAAATATGGGGGTTCTACTTGTCAAAAAGGAGCAGTTTGTTTGTGGTTGACTAACATTCTGTCAAGCATTGCGTTCTGAACGGTTATTATAGATAGATACACATGCATGTATAGAACCCATTCACACACAAAATTCTCTCTCTCCCATCCGTTGGATCAAATATGGCAAGCTGAAATGTATTTAGATGGATATGACTCCCCGTGCATCTGAGATATCTAGATTTGATTTGACAGTCGAAATACGTGACATTGCTTGTGGAGTTCAGCAGAGAAGAATTGTGTGTATTTGTATATATATTAGATTACAATACTGATGAAAATGAAGGTGTGGTATAAAATAGGCGCTGCAGTGTTGCTTGTTTCTTTTAAGTCTGTTATATTTCCGTACTGCTATGTGCTTTTCTCATCAATCAGAAATCGCTTATGTGTCATGTTTGTCTTAGCTTTTATTCAGTTTGTTGGTTGAACTCAAGCTTTCTACTAAATTTTTTGCATATGATTGTTTGGGCATTTAAGCATGATGCTAGTCTGGTTTGAAATCATATGTTTTTCCATGATGGCAGATGATATTCTAAAGACCACAATGGTTGACAAACTCCCTACTGATTTGGAAGGAATGGAAGCCTCAATGGAGCGACTCCTAGCTTTAATTGATGATGTTTACAAATATGTTGACAATGTTGTGGTTAGTAAGGAGGTTTAACCTTTTTGAGTCAGTCTTGCTTGATTTTTCTTAAATTTGATAATGGATCTTGTTTTCAGGAAAGTCGTGTTGAACCCGATAACAACATAGGGAGATTTCTCTTAGATGCAGTTGCATCTCTTCCGAAATTATCTCCTACAGCTTTTGATAAGCTTGTGAATGACAGCCTGCAGGTACTAGTATAGTCTGGTTCATTTTGTTGCATCAGGAAGGATTAAGTTTTAGTATATTTGTTGACTTTCTTCAATATGTTTCCAATTGATGTTCTTATATTTCAATCTTATAGAACCTGGAGTGGGTCTAGTTACTAATTTTGCTACCTGGTTTGCGGGAGATTGTCTGACATGAAACTTGTCCTTTTCTTTTGTTCCTTACAGGACAATTTGCTCTTGCTCTATTTGTCAAGCATCACCAGGACACAGCTCACCCTAGCCGAAAAGTTGAACACTGCTGCGCAGGTTCTGTAATTCCTATTTGCTTACAGAATCTACTGTCAAGACAATTCTACTTTTAAGAAGTCATCTGTTAGGGATATATGGCCAAGTGTGAGAACGTGGCCTTTGTTTCCAGAGAAGGTTGTAATATCTTTATTTCATTGAAAGTATAGGTAGGATTTTTCAATCATTTCAAGATTGCTTTTAACTGTCGGCTAGAAACATGATCATTTTTGGAGCTAATGTTATGGTTCATATCTCTTGTCTCTGTGCATTGGCGTGTGACGATTCTGCTTTATCTTTGTACCTTTACTACATCTAGAATAGGATGTTACCTTTTTGCTGCCGCTGGTCTTTCTGAATCCGTTATCCATACTTTGCTTTTTAGTAGCAGAACAGTAAACTGATCTGGGATTCCTACTTGGCTTGGTCTTGTATCCCGTAGAATGAGAAAGCATATGCCTTTATTTTCTTCCAATACAAATTCTCCACGGAAGCCTTCCCCGAACTGCTCGTGATTTTCAACTTTATGAAGGTGAAATCCGGAATATGAACGATGGCTGTTGTATTCCGTAAGCAATATGATAATCCTCATGTTTGGGAGAAACGAGTGGAAAACTTGAAAGTTAATTACTGTCAAATTAACTTATCACGGGGCATCTACAACTATATTACTTGCATTTGATAGTCGTACGCGATTTTTAATAAAGTGTTCTTGGGGACAACTCCAGTGTTTCCCGATGAATCTGTTGAAATTACCGGATGGGAAAATGTCACAGATCCTGGTAGTTACATAAAAAATCGATGCTATAGTAGAGTATTCGAACTTGAAAATGTTTTTGAAATTGTGAAGAGAATTAACTCTACTAAAAAAGATTTAGTGAGCAAATGCGTCTGGCCTAATGGAAAAGCGCCTTGACTTATGGTGTGTGTGAGAGAACAGAAGTGGCTACAATGAGGAGTTTAAAGTGATGAGGTTAATTCCACCATCAAAATATTTAAAATGTTTTAAGTCCCATAATTTCTTCACATTTGTTGATGGTGAGATTGACCTCCTCAGATAGCCTCTTCGCTTTAAACTCCTCATTATAGCATTCCCGGTGAGGAAACCCCTTCCCCCAACATCGCTTGTGTAAAAAAAAATAAAAATAAAAAATAAAAAATCTAGTTGGTTATCAGTGGTAGCAACAAACAGAAAGGATGCTAAGTACATATGCAATTAACAAGTGGAATTATTATGATTATAGTGGGTTGAAGTAAGTGAGTTTGGCCTTTGCCCATTAATGAGATGCCAGCAGGCAGCAGCAGCAGCCAAGTATGATTGGATATCCACAACGTCTTAATCCCCCAAAATCATATTCTCTGCTCTCTTATAAAATATGAACGGTAAGTAAGTGGGGTGGCTTTTGGCCTTTTTCTCTGGATGATGGCGGTGAACCTTCCACTGCTGCTTAGTGCTTAATTATAAGCAGCAATGGAGACAAGAAAGTCGAAAAAGGAGGGAGATTTTTAGGGGGCGGCCTGGATTTCACGCGTGCCCTAATTCTAGCTAAGCCTTCTCGAATCTCACGTTTTCCGCATTCACCCTCTCCATACGCATAATAAACACATCTTTCTCGTTTCTCTCTCTCTCTCTCAAATCTCATGTCTCTCAAACTCATCTCATATATATATATATATATATATACATGAATGAAAAAGCTTGCGTAGGGTGTAGATGGACAATTGCAAAAGACAGCCAAACAGGACAGCATGGCACTTTTACCAATCTCCCCTTTCAAATGTTTGATTTTAATTTTGAGTCTGGTTTGGTCTCCTCTCATCTCATCCCAGTCAAATGTACTTCTTAGTAATTATGCATTCATCGAGAAGCATGCGTTCCATTAGCTGCTGGCCTTTCAGCCTAGCTATATGATATCATATGATAATCAATCAAGTTTCAATCATCTTAAAATTCATCTAAACAAAACAAAAGACATGTTCCTCCAAGTAATTCTGCTTCCAAACAGGGACATGTTCAAGATGATGGGTAGGATGGGTTGGCACCAACCCAGCAAACCCTAGTGCGCTTGTACTATATCATATGTGATCATCGTCACCACTCACTCACCTGCATAACATGTTCGCTAATTAGGTTTAATTAGTTTAGTACAAATGAATTAATTAGTTAAAGCTCCCAGGAGTTAGCCAGACCACATTCACAGACAGCAGTTAGCTAACTATTGTGCCAAGTGCAAACAGACAAATATTTTGCTCGTGAATACAAACATATCCTCGGGAATTGTCGAAAGTGCGCAACACAACTTGGGTGGGACTGCGCTACTGCCCTTCTCTTGACTACCTAATTACCAGATTTACTATTCAAATTCTTGAGAGACCAAACCAAACCATGCATGCTCCAAGACTTTTCTTGGGATTTTGTCACACGCTAAATATAACTATAATAAATCAAATGGATCAAGACCATTTTCAGATTCACAAGCAAGCATTCACAACATTTATTATGTTAGGAGAGATGTCGAGTTCGAATTCCACCTTTTCACGATAATACAATAACATGAATTGATGTTGTTTCCAATTTCAGATCTAGAACGGATACTATATGCAAAGTCTCAATACCAAACCATGCACTAAACTAAAATATATCAAGACCCTTTTCTTCGTTTTGAAGGTATGTTTCAAGTTACTATCAAGTATATTAATGTTACATGTTATATTACAAGAGATTTCAAGTTCAAATTTCACTTGTTCATGATAATACGATAAGATGCACCGATGTTATTTCCAATTCCAGATCTAAAATGGAAACTGCATGCAAAGTCTCTTGACATGGCTATGCATTCAACCATATATGATATATTCCCTATGTAGGGACAAACCCAATACAACAAAATATCACCTAGACTTTTGATCACTCCCAGAATCGTGTACCTACAAGCAAATGATAAGTGTGTTTTAAAATTTGTTGTATATATATTTGAAGCTAAGGATGAAGCAACCAAGTGACTGGAAAAAGGGGCATGTAGTTGCTTACGACAGGAGGCACATGACATAAGAAAATCCAATTTGTCCCCCTCTTTTGGCTGGTCATGAGTTGTCCCTCTCCCATATTTCAATTTGGTGGCTTTATTGTCGCTTTGTTTATGTTCCCACACACCCTTAAAAGGAGATTCAACCCCACACTATTTGACTGAGATGTACTTAGTCTTAGGGTCAACCTAACTCGGTATCTTTGTCAGTCTGTTGCGATCACAACCGTCCAATTTGGATCAGACAATGTGAAATTTTGACTTTCACTTGCATCGATCTTTCTTTTGCAAAATTACCCAATTAAGATAATCCATCAAATTGCACTCTTCTATATGATCTTTAGCAACACACCAACATAATTAAAAATGATGCTTGGCTTTAGTCACATGTCCTGGTGGTCTTGGACGTACTAAATTAGTCCACTATTCTAGAGCATGAGAATTACAAAACTAAACATCTTAGAATATGCATATGTATGAAAATTGTTAAATAAGTATTTATGTTAAAGACTAGCTACATATTTTTATTGTCGATAGTTGGATTGTATGTATGTTGCATATTAAATCTACTAACACATTTAGTGAAAACAATCCAACAGCCGAGATTAGAAATATATAATAAATCATTACCTTAAATACTTATAGAAGAATCCCCCCGAATATATATTTTATTGCAAAGCACAAAAACCTTAAAGAAAATTATATATATATATATATATATATGCATATGAACTCAAGGAAATAAAAAATGCTGTTAGTGAAAACTTTACATATTGTCTGCTCGGCGACCAATGTTGAACAGTGGTAGCTTTCGCGCATGTCTCTCTATTTATATTTCTTAGCACAAAAAACTGGGAAAAGATAATTGAAACGAACAAATCCACATAATTCAATCTCAAATTCCCTAAAATCAACGCAGATTAATATATAAACAAAGGGTTGATTTCAATAAAACAAAAACCTACTCCGCAAATAAAAAATGTAACACAAAAGATTAATAAACCAAAGTATCCACTTTATGGTATTATATATGCACACGGGTTCACACTGTTTTGAGTTCAGAAGCTCAGAAAGGAAGTTCTGAGGCAGCAGAGACTTGTTTCGTTTCTAGGCATTTGAAGCTGAAAAATCAAATATGGATGAGGGCATGTCAGGGTTTTGCATTAAAGCGGCGAGTTTTCGCGGCAGTGGTGGTGGTGCCGGCAATGGCAATAATGGAACCAAGTGCGGGCGTTGGAATCCAACAACCGAACAGGTTAAAGTTCTAACTGACCTGTTCAGGTCTGGACTCCGAACGCCGAGCACTGATCAGATTCAGAAAATCTCTTCTCAGCTAAGCTTTTATGGAAAGATCGAAAGCAAGAACGTTTTCTATTGGTTTCAGAATCACAAAGCCAGAGAAAGGCAGAAACGCCGCAAAGTTTCCATCGATGACAAGGATTTCACTCGTCGAGATCAAGACAAGATTTCTTCTCCAAAACGTACGTTATTAATGGCTGTCAAAATATATTTTCTCTTTTGAAGTAACTGTTTTTTTATCTCTCAGATCACTTTCTCAAAAAACAAAAAGAAACTTTCTCAAAAAACAAAAAGAAACTTTTCTTTTTACTCTTCTTTCTTTTTTCTGCTCTTTAGAATGTTTGATTTTCTGGTCGTCTTTGCAGAACTAAATCAAGTTTCAGAGCCGGCGAGAGTGATAGAGACCCTTCAACTTTTCCCAGTAAACTCCTACGACGACTCTGAAGCGGAGAAGACGAGATTTCATGCAAACGAATACTTCAAAGAGGCTACAGCTTTTGCTTACAGGGTTGGGACAGAAATGGACCATCCACCATTGGATCTGCGCTTAAGCTTCCTTTAAATTACATGCTTCAAATGTTATAAGAAAAAGAAAAAACTTCTAGCTAGCCAGCTATATAGTGTAGAGCCATGGCTGTCATTTGTAGAATTTAGGGTTTAGCTGGTGGCAGGAAGAAGGGTGAACAGAAAGGGAGGGTGTGGGAGATAGCTAGGAGTGGAAAACTTTGTAGCTGAAAATTTTACGTAGTAGTGAAATTAATTTTAAAGTTGGTTTAAAATATTGGAAATTCTTGGACATTCTCCTCTGCATGTGCTCAGAAAACTTTGTTGTTATTAATTTCTCTGTGATTTACTCTGTTGGGTTCTTGTTTTCCACATGAATGCTTGGAATTTGGAATTTTTGCTTCCTCACATGAGAAGTGTCTCCTTGGGCTGCATAAATTGTCCATGCTATGCTTACACTTGGCCTTGGGTCTGCTTCCAGCTTTGAATTTCATGTCCTAATCTACTTCCCCACTTCCCCACAGCCCTCATTTATCCTTTTACAAAGTAAAACTCATCCACTACCAAAACTATTATTAAGTAATTTCATTTTGAGATTCTAAACCTGCCCTTTCATAGTGTTGTAAAGTGATTATTCTTAAAAGGGCATCTTGAATCTGAGGGATGGAATGGAATAATTGTGATAGGAGCCGGGTATATGCTTTGCCTGTTGAATTAGAGAGGGGAGAAATCGAACACTAATTTTTAAGTGTATTAATGACTGCTCGTAATCGCTTGAGTTATAAGCTTATAGCTTGCTTTTGGATCGAAGATTCTTCATAAAAGGTCCCAAAGAAAAAAAGTAACATATTTTCAACATGTTAACCTAATCCCCATTTTGACCCAGGCTCAAGCCAGTTAAGCGGGCCCAAAGGTAATATAGCTGTCCAGAACAAGGCCCATTAAGATTGAGCCCCTTTTTTCATAACTTGGGCTTTGATGCCCAACTAAGAATCCAGAAACGAACAAAGCTTTTCATAATATAAAAATGTTTTGTTCGGTGAAAGCCGAGAGGAAAGCGAAACTGAGGAAGAGCAGCAAAGCAAGCAAGTTGAGTTGGAACACACCAGCTGAGGTTTCCTGGAGAAGAAGCTAACTCAAAATTCAAGCACAGAAAGAAAGAGTTCAGTTCAAGAAGAAGAAATTAGGAAATGGATGTGATAAAAACGCAGCAAATCTCAGCGAGGCCGATCGAGAAGGTGATAGTTCACCCTCTGGTTTTGCTCAGCATCGTCGACAACTACAACAGGGTCGCCAAGGACACTCGCAAGCGCGTCGTCGGCGTTCTGCTTGGCTCCTCTTTCAAGGGCACCGTTGACGTCACCAACAGCTATGCCGGTTCGTATATTTCTCTCCGTCTTTTAGTCCATCTGCTTCTCTTTCGGTTCCTCGGCTCTGTTTGGATCTCATTCCTTATTTACTTTTGAAATATGTTTATTTTATCTGGAGATGAATTTTTCCTATTTTGATCTGATTATGGTGGTTTTGATTTTGAATTTTGCTCCAATTGTGGTGGATAATTCATTGTTTCTATATAAAATTTTGTCTTTAGGTTATGACATTGTGAAAAATAAGGTGTATTTTTCTTAATTATTCAAAAAAATAAGTGTGATGTTGCTGCTATGAGCTTAAACTTGGAATTGGCTTAACAAAGTTAAGTTACATTTTGAATTGTATGCTGCTATATGAATTCCTACTTGTGTCAAATTTCAAATTTGCGATGTAGAAAAGTTAAAGTGATAACAACTGGTTGTGGCATTCTAGGCATGCTATTTGATCAGGCATTTATGATTTTAACTCAAGAGGTACTGAGGTTGTTGTAAATATGCAAATTTTGTGCTTTTATTTTCTTTCCAATTGTATAGACCTGCGCAGTTTGAAAGTGTATTAGTTTATTTACGGTACGGTGCACTTTGTATGTTAATTTCCTGTTGCATTGTAGGTGCTCTGGTTGTTAGTATCTACCACTTGTATTCATGTACTATTTTAAGTTTCTTGTTTATTGGTTTTCCAACAGAAAGTTAGGCAGTCTCAGCCTCAAATTCCATGATTGTATCCTTCAATTTGACGAATTAGTTTAGATTTTGTGTTTGTCAGGTTTTTGTTATACTAAAATATTTTCTTATTTGGCCTTTTCTATGTTCTTGATTTTAAAACCTTTATGTTTCCAGATCAAGTGCATTACTTTTTACACAAATAATATTTGATCTCTATTCACAGTGCCCTTTGAAGAAGATGACAGGGACCCTAGTATTTGGTTTCTTGATCACAACTACCATGAGGCCATGTATGCCATGGCGAAGAGAATAAATGGTATTAGTCGAGAAAATTCTCTTATTTCCACATATGTACATTGTCGGTTATGATGAAAAATTGACAAATATTTTTTTCCAGCAAAGGAGCATGTTGTGGGATGGTACAGCACGGGTCCAAAATTGCGAGAAAATGACTTGGACATTCACGCTTTATTTAATGAGTAAGTCAACCAACCCAATGCAAACCATCGCTCCTTGTACTTGAGATTGCATAGAAATATCGTGAATGTTTCTAACATCTAGTCTGTTTAACAAAATTATGTGGATGGATAACATTGAAATAATTTGAGTATTCTAAGGTTGACATTGTTCAAATTGAGATTAGAGAAACCATATTAAGTTTTTAACCAACTAAAAGGAGCAGAAGTGTACCTCTTTCTTTCTTTTCTCCGATATGCACTGTGGTATACCATTTTGCTGATCTAACTTGAAGAAATAGAAAAACAAGAACTAAGATGTCTGGGAATTTGGAAACCTTGTGGTTGCGTGTCAGTTTTCTACAAAATAGTGATGGTTGGTTATAAGGAAGCACTGTACCTTTAAGTGATATTCTTGTGCAGTGGTACAAAAAGCTGCCTTTATGCCCCCCTTTTTGGTTTTCTAACATGAGGAAGCCTGCAGCCAACATGAATCTCTGTTTCCTTTCTTTGTCCTTTAAGTTTTCATTAATATTTCTTCCTTTCTCCATTCCGTTTGATTTTGCAGCTATGTCCCAAATCCTGTCTTGGTCATAATTGATGTCCAACCAAAGGAGCTGGGTATACCCACAAAAGCTTACTGTACTGTTGAAGAGGTTAAAGAGGTAGAATCACCATTTTTTTAATTTAAAAAAACTCCATTTTCTATTGTTCTTGTGTACTATTAGAAATGAAGCTCTATGGTTAGTGTTTCTTTTAACTTGAAATCCAGTTTCATGCAAATTTGAATTAACATTTTAGTTTGATTACAGAATGCTACCCAGAAAAGCCAGAAGGTGTTCGTTCATGTGCCTTCTGAAATTGCTGCCCATGAAGTTGAGGAAATTGGTATGCCGATGGGATGAATAACCGGTGCTATTAGCATTGAATCAAAACAACTCCCAACTTATTGCATGCACACATCAATTTCTTTCTTTCTTTCTTTTGTGGTTTGGTGAGTGAGTATCTAGTTTTGAGTTACCATGTTACCCTTTAACAGGAGTGGAACACTTGCTTAGAGATGTGAAGGATACAACCATCAGCACTCTCGCAACAGAGGTTTGGTTTTTACTTCTTATTCACACAGACACATGACAAGTCTAACATGAATACAACAAACTTAGTTTCCAAGTCTTGTACAGGTTACAGGGAAACTCACAGCCTTGAAAGGATTGGAAGCAAGACTTCGAGAGATTCGGGGTTATCTTGACCTTGTTATTGATGGAAAGCTCCCTTTAAACCACGAGATTTTGTACCATCTACAGGTTCGGTTTTGGCGTAACCTATATATAGTATAAGCTAGAATTGTAATGTCTCTGCCTTTTCTGAGGTTTTGAGTTCTTTCTAATTTTTGCCTAGTCTTAATATTTTCACCATACCACCTGTACGTTTTCTTATTTCTCTCTTCAAAATCCTTGTAGGATGTGTTCAATCTACTTCCAAATCTTAATGTTTCCGAGTTGATCAAGGCTTTTTCAGGTAAATAAACCTACTGTGTTTATTCTGCCTCTGTAGATATTTTATTGTTTAAACTTCTTTACGGTTAGATTTTTGATCCATGCTCAAGTGCCTATTCTGCTAAAATGTTGAATCATGTCCTTGTTGTTATGTGCAGTGAAAACAAATGATATGATGTTGGTTATCTATCTTTCTTCTCTCATCCGAAGTGTTATTGCTCTTCACAACTTGATTAACAACAAGGTGAGATGCATTTCCTTGAATGTGTAATTCTAATATTAGGATTCCTCGCCTTAGCAATTATTCCTTCGGTGTTTGAGGGTGAATGAGAAAACAAAAGGCGCATGAAAAGGCCACTATTCATTCTTGTTCTGTCCATTATGGTTCTAGCTTTTCCCCCGTTTCATTGAGCCTGGCTTGTCAAGCAATATGCATGGTGCTATAATATATTGTCACAAATATTTGGATCTTCCTTGGCTTTCTTTACAAACTTCACATAATGTATTCTGATTTGAAAATTTTGGAATATTTCAGATGCACAATAAAGAGCATGAAAAGGCAGAAGACTCGAAACAAGTTGCTGTACCAGCTGCAGCCGGAAGCTAAGAAGTATCTATATACGGTTTGGAGCTTTGAGGGGCGTCATCTGTCGACTAAGATAACTAAAATGCGTAGTCTCACTTCTTTCCAGCCTCGATGAATTTCAAGTTGGAATTGGAGGGATGCATAGGACATGGCCGATTTAATAATTACCCCTAATTTTTTGCCATGTCCCAGATGATGCTCAGTTTCTTTTTGAACATATAATTTACGGGTTGTCAAGTGATGACGGACATAATCATTTTGTACTCTAAAACTTGGGTTGCTTTGCTTCCCATCTTACTTTGTAGACCCATTTCATCTGTTTTATTAACTTTATGACTCATTTATGCGATGTTGCAATTCTACCATTCTTGATTGTGTAAACAAAAAACAAATTCCCTTGCCTAAGAACTTTATTAGTATAATTGTGTAATAAAAATATCTAGAAAGAATTATAACATCTCATATATGTGTTTCTCCAGTAATCCAAGTACAATGTTACAAAAATTCACGAGTGAATTCAATCTTGTTCCTCAGGCTGAACTGATTGTTGGAACTCAGCATCCATGATCGCTCCATCCATGATATGCACAACGCTTCCCTTCTTCCTCAGATCCACTCTTTTGGATCGAACCCTGTTGACCGTCAACGCTCCATCTTCCTCTTTCGAGATATACAACACAAACCCAGATATCGAATCATACGACAGCTCCTTGTCAATCGGCACATTGACTGAAGCGAGCCTCCGAGGCACAGCCGAGAACCCCAATACTCGAGACATTATTGCATACGTGTCGTCATTCATCTTCTCCCCCACTAAACTTTTATTTGGGCTGAGCCTCAGATCGCGCTCGAAAGCTTCCTCTGAAGGAACAAACACAGTGAAGGCAAGATCTTCAGGCAACATTTCAAGCATCATCTTCCCAAACTTCCCTATCGATAAATTGTCATCCTCTGAAGTTTGTTTACTGGTTTTTGTCGTGGGATATTGCAACCCAAGCGGGATCTCTGGAAGCCTCAGCATTGAGATTGTAACAATTAAAAAGCAACAAACCAACACAACCCACCAAAAGAACGCAATCGGATTTCTCAGAATCCGGCTTCTGCTCATCGTCTTTGACGATCCTGATTCGCAGGCGAGCTTTCCGGCGCTCGGGATCTTCCCACGTGGCTCTTCTGCAGGCGTTGGAGCTTCACACTGGCGTGTTCAAGCACCTAGCGAGCCAGTTGAGGGAGCCTATGATTTGGGATACGTAACAGAGTTTCTTGCATTGCATCCAGGTTGGAACGACGTCGAATGGTTTCTGGGTTTCTGGACTCATTGAAGAGGCTAAGATGACCCCGGCCCAAAAAGTGGGCCTCTCAAGGTGGACAATATTATTTCAGTAGGCTAGGAATAAGCTTAATCTCAATTCATAATGTTTGTGAAAGGCCCAAATGAACATTATATTTTGCCTTTGTGTTTGTGGTACATATTCCAATATTAAACACATAATTTTGTTGGAATTTTTAAAGCCCTATATACTTGTTACATCTCCAGAAAAATTTCAACCCAAAAAATGATTAAGTTCCTCAACTTTTTTGAAATTTTTATAATCTCATTTCTATCTTTCAAAATCGTAGGATACTCGAACATGAGAAAGATATGGGTTAAGACATGCTTGTACAACCTCATGAATCCTTGTAGGTTACCATATGATAAGATAGGTCCATTTGGATTTTGACATCATAGGTCTCTTGTTTGGCTTTTCGAACTTAGAGATTTCAAGCATAAATTTGAGAATTTTCGAGTTCAAGTATAAAGTTAGCATTTTTTGGAGTCCGAGTATGAACTAAGCATTTTTTGGGGTTTCATGTAAAATTTTGTGGTTTTGATGTTAGATTTAGCTTTTTTGTCATTTTTGGGGTTTCATGTATGATTTAGTTGTTTTTTTATTTTATTATTATTATTTTTTTAAGTGTTTTAAGTATGAATCAGGATCAGGGAACACACATTATAACACACATTTTAGAGTGTTAGATTAACGCACACTCAATGATTGAGATTGCATATATATATATATATATATATACAAAACTCTAAAAAAAAAGCTTCATTCATAAAGAAAATGCCAAGATTTATACTCGATACAGCAAAATGTTACATGAAACCTTAAAAATACTAAATTCATACATGATGCCTCAACAAGCCAAAATCTATACTCAAAAAGGTCAAAATACTAAATTCATACATGAAACCTCCAAATGCCAAGATCTATAACTGAAACCTAAATATTCTAAAATCTACGCATTAAATCATAACAAATGCTAAGTTGATACGCGAAACTCCGAGAATTCCAAAATCTACCATTGAAACCCCCAATTGATCAAATCAAGACACGAATCCGAAAAAATACTAAACTAAGACACAAAACTCCAAAAATACCAAAATCTTACTCGAAACCAAAAAATGCTACACGAACCCATAAAAAATGCTAAATTCGTATATGAAGCCCCAAAATGACAAAACCTATATGCAAAAAAGCCTCGTAAATGCTAATGCATTATGCATACACGAAACCAAACCAGGTGACAAGACTAATTAATTTTGTTAGAGCGTTGGCCCCACAAAATCAGAAGAAAAGAAAATAGAGCTCTCAGCGAAAAACAAGAAAACAAAAGAAATATACTTGAAAAAACAAAAGTCAATAAAATTATAATTCATATCTAAACCACACACACACACACACACACTAGTAAAAACAAATACACAGATCAACATCCTCCCATATCCATTGGCCTCCGTTCAACCCAAGGACCCATACAATACAACGGTCAACACCAGAGTGCGGACATAAAAATAGGGACCTTGATCAACCGCACCCAACCATTTCCCCTTCGTCCACATCCCTTTTTCTTCTTACACAAAATATGACATCATCCATAGGCTCAGCTCGACACGTATTGCATGAACTCAGAGTCCGTTTCAAGCAGAGCCATAGTGTCAGGCGCCAAAACCACCTCAAGATCAACGCTCCCAGCTCCTTCCCTCCCCGGAAACGCCGATATCTTTCCGTCAAATTTATTCGCCCTCCCGCTCCGAATTGCTAACGGTCTCCCCCACCCGAAATCGTTGTCGTACATCGGAAATCTCGGTGAGCTCCCCATCGTCATCGTCGCACCGTCCAAGTTGCCAAGCGGAAACACCCGCGGGTCCCTCTCCCAATCCTTTACGACACCTCGCACCTTGTCGTTGTCGTGCGCCTTCACGTTCTTGTTCAGCTGCTCCGCGCACCACCTTGTGTCGTTCGACAGCACCTCTCCCGCCGTCGCGTACGTCGGGATGCTCTGGATTGCGTTCCCGAAATAGTACGCGTCCAGCTTGGGCTCCAGCCTGTGACGGCAATTCACAGCCATTCTGAATGTCGTCGTTTTCGAGGAAGGCAATTTCCTCGCGCGCGTCACGGATCGCCAGAGGAGAGCGCAGAGCGACTGAAACGACGAAATTTCGGGTGTCGTTTTGGCGTTGGAGTTCTTAAACCAGTTTTCGATAATTGACGTCACTCTGGCGCCGTTTGAGTTGTTAATCTCGTAAGGGTCGTTGCTCTGCTTCCCGAGAATCTCAACGGCACTTATTAAAGCGTCGTCGTTTTGGAATTCGGCCCATTTTTTACTGTTGGTTCGGGATTTGAGGTCTTGAATGGCTTCTCTGCTGAAGCTGAAAATTCGCTCGCGCAAAGGCTCGGTGAGGGAGAAGGTGACTTTAGGACCTCCTTCCGGGAACCGGAGCACGGCCGGCGATATGATAACGGAGCTCCGGCTGAAGTCGGGCTGCTTCGCGATGGTAAGTTTCTTGTTCTCATTAGATGATGATGATGACAGTCTGCAGAGCTCGGCGAAGGTGTTGAAGAAGTTCCAGAAGGAGGTGCCGTCTGTGATGGCGTGATTGACAGCGCAGCCGATGAAAACAGCGTCGCTGAGCTCGGTGACCTGGACGGCCAGGATTGAGTTGTGGTGGCCGGTGTAGCTGACGGTGCGGTCAAAGGGGAACAAGTCCTTGACGCAATTGGGGACGTCAGTGGGGCCCAAAATGTCTCGGGTGGAGAGACTGGGGGCGGATGCGTGGATGAAGTCGACGCCCGCGTCGTTGCAGGTGATGTGAACGTGACCGTCGGAGTAAGTGGTCAAGCGGCCGGCCAAGGGAGGGAAACGAGAGAGGCTTTGGGAGAGAGAGGCCTTGAGGAGGGGGACGAGAGAGTGTTGGATGGGGAAAGGAGGAAGAGGGAAGAGGAGGCCCTTCTGGATGTAGTGGCAGGAGAGCATGGGGAGGTCGGAGACTGAGAGCTTGAGGTCACCGAGTGTGGAAGGCTGGTTGGGGAATACGGTGGACTTGGCCACCACTTGAGTTTGAGTTAGAGACGTTGGCGAGTTTGAAGAAGGCATTTTGATTGAATGATGGGCGCCAAGTGTCTAATGGGTGTGGAGGAGGGTTGGAAATGTGAGTAGACACTGAGGAGGAGGAGTGAGGAAGGTGCGAGAGTTGGGAGTGGTATTTATAGGGGTTGGGTTGGGGATTTGGATGCATGAATGTGCTGGCGGGGGCTGGTTTGTTTCTTAATTTAGTAATTTATTGCTGATTTGGTTGTCATCGTTTATTTAATTACTTTAATTCTCTATTTATTAACGTTTCATGAAGAATATGCGGATGGATGGGTCGTGGGTTTGTATCTGATGATACATTCACTCTCTCTCTCTCTCTCTCTCTCTTCTGTCTGCATATGATTTCCTAATCATAATCATCATCAGCATCACAAATCGTAGCTCCGATTGGAAGCCGCGTGTTAGATTTCCTGGCTAGTTATGACATGCAAACTAATGAAATTACAACGATTGTAGTTTTATTAGTGGAAAACTAAAACTAAGTAAGAGGCTAGGGTTTTTTTTAAGTAAATACATGATAAAAATTTGAGAGAAACTTGACGAAACAAGAGAAAACGAAAATTTACAACCCCGGTTTGGGAGGGAGAACAATACGCCTGACCCCGACTCAATCAATCACATAATAGGGCGTCCCAAATAAGAAATTTACATAAAAGCCAATGAGCTAAGCTCAGCCTGCGGATATTTTGGATGGTTCTCAAAAGTCCTTCTTTATCAAAGATAATATGAAGTCTAAGCACCACCATGCCAACTAAAAAATATTAAACGTGTTGACGGTCGACAAGTTAAGCTACAAATTAATTATTAATTATTAGAGTTATTTACAATAACACCCTCTAAGAATTTCGGTTTTTTCCCAAAACTCATTGAGGTTTTAGAAATTCCACGAACACCCCCTAAGATTTTAAATTGTTTTCACAAAACTCACTTTCAGTGATTTTTCATCCAAATATTGATAATTTTATACAAAAAAAATTCTCCAAATGACAAAGTTGGACCTTGATATTATATTACATATACTTCATTAAGGTTAATTTTGGCATTTGGATAAGTTTTTTTTTCCAATGAAATCATCAATTTTTGGACAAACAATCAATGAAAAGGGATTTTGTGAAAATAATAATAATAATAATAACTGAAACCTCAAGAGGTGTTCGTGTAATTTTTGAGACTTGAGGCAATTTTGTGAAAACATAAAAAATCTCAAAGGGTGGTCAGTATAAATAACTCTAAAAATTATCCTATAATTAAGGAATGAATATTGAAACGGCAGCGATGCATATTGGATTTCAGAGATTTTACTCACTCCAACAAGAATCTGTGAGATTTCCTCTCATATATTCAGAATCTGTGGAGATGAGATTTTCTAGTTGAAATCTCTCACAGGTAGCAGTAGACCCTCCAGCAGTATCCAATGGAGTCCGCCTTGAATTACACAATTCCCATACATAACAAGATACTCATGCCTCCCCCCACGCATCCAATTAAACACATTTATACTACTCGCACTCCTTTCCATCAATATACTGCACAATTTTCACTCAAATCAAATCATGACCATAAATCATATTTACACACGTGCAAAATTATCTTTTTCTTTGTAATTTTAATAATTTAATTATTCATGTGTGTCGGACTGTGATTGATATGACTCTTACTTATTAAGAGCCAAGGAATATTCATATATATAATGACAATTGAGTGAAAATAACAATTTTAGTCAACGAGGGTTGGTTGAGTTGGTAAGGATCGTTTTCTTCGCTATCCAAGCCTAAGTTGGAGTTCCGCGGCTGATAATTTCTCTTGATGGGTAATATGTAAAAATAAAATAAAAAGACTAAGACCCCCCATAATAAGGTAGCCTCCCCTCTCTCTAAACTTTTTATCATTAAAAAAAATAAAGATAACAATTTGGTTTTTCTTTTTTGTCCACTTGAACTCTATCTGATTGCATCCAAAGGGAGACGGTTTTGTTTCTTCATCCCAAGTTGTCAACTAGCTAGGCTAGGGTG